CCCTCCCGGCTGGCTGTGATGTGGCAAGGGGGCGAGGGTAAACCCAGGACCTGGAGGCACCTGGGGGGAGCAAGCGCAGCCCAGGCCCCCGGAGGCCCTGAGGACCCCCGAGGACCTGCACCAGGGAGCCCGGGAGCAGCAGCCCGGCTCTGGCTCCCGCTCCAGCTCAGCGAGCACTGCGCCGACCCTGACCCCAAGGCTCCCCCAGGCCGGACCCCACGCTGACCCTGACCCCAAGGCTCCCCCAGGTCGGACCCCACGCTGACCCTGACCCAAAGGCTCCCCCAGGTCGGACCCCGCGCTGACCCTGACCCCGGGACTCCCCCAGGACGGACCCCACTGGGCTCAGGCACAGGGCTGCTGGAAAGCTAACAACAGCAGCCAGCAGGGCTTGGCCTCCCCTCCCTCCACAGCCAGAAGGCCCTATGGGGTCACGCAGGGAGGCCCGGGGGGACAGGTGAGCCCGGGCCCAGCACCTGGCAGGCCCTGCAGTGCACCCAAGAGGGAGCAGAGGCTGCGTAGCAGGGACACCCAGAGAGGACTCTAACCGCTGCTCTGCGTGGGCTACATGAGCCACTGCCCCCTCCACCCGGGTCTGTGGGCACACTGGGAGGACACCACACCCCTAACGTCACAATTTCCTTCCAGCTCCAAAGCGGGGTGATCCTGCAGTGTTCTGGAAGGTGAGGGAGACCGACGCTGCCCAGGCTCTATTCAGATTCATGTAATTATTTGAGGCTGCAGGGCAGGGAAAGCTAGATTGTGAGGTGGGCTACAGCCCAGCCCTCATGGCCCCCACTCTCCCAGGTGTCCCCTCTTCCCTAAAGCATGACACTGCCTAACCCCACGACTTACTTTGGGAGCTCAAGTAAGTCACATGATCTATCAACCTTGGGGACCCCTTCACCTGTCACAGTGATGGTCAAATGAGATATTTGTAAAGTGCTTTCTCAAACGTTACTATTTGTGCTGAACAATGTCACTATTATTCTCCTATTAAGTCTTCATAAAGGAACATCGCTCCACTGATTTTAGAAATAACATTTACCATATACATCAGAAATTACTAAACTGGGGGCACCTAGGTGACTCAGTTGAGTATCTGCCTTTGGCTCAGGGCATGATGCCGGGGTCCTGGTATCGAGTCCCGCATCGGGCTCCCTGCATGGAGCCTGTCTCCCTCTGCCTGTGTCTCTGCCTCTCTCTCTCTCTCTCATTCATGTATAAATAAATGAAATCTTAAAAAAAAAATTCTAAACTGTATTCTTCAGAATCCAAGTGTTTCCAGAGATGCTATAACATCTTTCTGGGTAGGGAGGGGAGTCAAGACACCAGTTTCTTGCAAAATGCATTTTGGTAAACATGTAAGAAAAATATCAAATACATGTATGCAGTTGTCTTTATCAATATGTAATCATCTCACCATTAGTCATTAGGGAAATGCACATCAAAACCACAATGAGATGCCACTTCCCACCCATGAGATCGGCTCTGATCAGAAAGATGCCGACACGTGCTGGTGGGCATGGGGAGACTCTGGAACCCTCATACGCTGCTGGTGAGAATGCAGATTGGTGCAACCACTTTGGAAAACTGCATTTCCTCAAAGGTTAAGAGACCTGAACACATACATCCACACAATAACTCATAAATAAATGTTCACAATAGCCAACAAGTAGAAACCACCCAAATGTCCGTCAAATAATGAATAAATGTGGCATGGCCAGGCAATGGAGTATTCTTCAACCATTAAAAAGGATGAAGTACTATCCGTGCCAAGAAAAGGAAGCCAGATACAAAGGGTCACGTACTGAATGAGCCCATTATTATGAAACGTTCAGAATAGGCAAATTTATAGGTAGAAAAGTTTGTGGTTGCCAGGGCTGGGGAAAGACAGGAATGGAGAGTGACAGCTAATGGGTATGGGGTTTCTTTTGAGGGTGATAAAAAATGTCCTGGAATTACTCAGGAAGTGTGTGTTGGATCCTCACTCACAGAGGCGAGGCAGATTACCCACCCAGCTAGTGACTGGCCAACCGGAGTTGAGACTCAGACCTTTCACTCCCTCAGGACCAGCTCGTGCCCAAACTACTGAGTTCTGCAGCAGGACAGGATGAATGGGAGTGTGACGCTCAGCGGGGTGGGTTCCTGGATGGCAGGGGCTGTGCCTGACCCATGTCGGCGTCCCTCATAGCTGTGACTCTGGGGTCCCACATACAGCAGGTGATCGGTCACAGCCAGGCTGGGCTCCTAAGGGGTGGGGCAGGGTTGGCCAGTCGTCTACCCCAAAACCTGCTCCCCTCTCCTTCCTTATTAACTGAACCACTCTTTTTAACTGAGTCTTCTTCTCTTGATTCTTCCTCCAACGTGCTACCACAACACAGATGTGATGGCTAACGCTGTAGCAGCCAGCCTGGCCCATGAGGACAAAGGGCCACTCCCTAGGGACAGAGAAGCAGACAGCTGCAAGGAGCCTAGGACCCTGCTGACTTCGGGAAGCCCCCATGCCACCAGGAATGCCTCTGAACTTCCATTTAGATGGGAAATAAAGCTCAATCTTGTGTAAGCCACCAAAATTTGGGGGTTCCACGGCATATTCTATCAAACCTGATACAGCAAGGAAGGCTATGGAAAAGGCAGATCACCACGTAAGGCTGAGAAGTGTAGGATTCCTCTCGACAAACAGAACGAGGCAACAGATGGCCCAGGAGCAGAGCAAGCAAAACCCCATGGGAACGGACAGCTTTTCCGCAGCCTAGGGAGGAAAGGCTGAGCAAGGAAACTGAAGCCACTCATAGTAGGTCTAGGATTTGGAATAACCTGAGAGGACGGTTAGCCAGGAGTCGGGAGGCTCTGAGTGGAAGCAATGGCATAAAAGCAGCATTTTAACAAGATGAACGTACAGCCTTTCCAGGCCAGCAGAACCAGGGGAGCCAGGACAGAGTTGTTCAGCCAAATGTTTGCTGAACACCCACTATGTGCGGGCACTGTGCTCCCAGGGAGGGCTGCACGGAAAGGATGGCTGAGCCGGGTCTGAGAGATCGGCAAGAAAGCCCCAGGAGCTCCTGTATTCCTCAGGGCAGTGACCTCCCACCTCTGCCTCTATAGCTCCATACAAATTCGGATCCAAGGCCCCAGGCCCCACCCGGGGGATTCTGATCCACAGGCTGGGGCAGGGCCCAGGATGCTGAATTTTTAATAAGTGTACCCGCGTGATTCTGACGCAGTCAGCCCACGGACCGAGTATACAGGCTAGAGGCTCCTAACTGGACACGTGGGACACAGCACGTTTGGAGGTTCATTAAATAAGTGAAGAAATAACAGACTTCCATCCTGTTAGGAGACAAACCAGTAGATTTTGAAAGTTTCAATAATAATCAAAACAAGATTTTTCTGGTTAAGTGAATGATTTTTAATATAATATTTAGTTAACCAAAATGTAATCTAAGGTCACTAATGATGTTCTACGATCTATGTCTGCAACCATTTCAGCTAAGAAGTATTTTTATTTCACTTGAAAATGGCCTTAGGAGAGACCTCTGGGTGTGAGCACGACTTCGGTGGGGCTCACTGGGCTTCGCTCTGCAGGCCTGCCTTCCTCGCCCCCCCAACCCTAACCCCCCCCACCCCTTCGGGACGGGAGGCGGGGCGGGAAGCGGGACGGGACGGGAGGACGGGAGGACGGAGTGGACGGGAGGGACGGAGGGAGGATGGAGGTGGGACGGGAGGTGGGACAGGAGGGGAGGATGGGAGGTGGGACGGGAAGGGAGACGGGAGGTGGACGGGAGGTGGGACAGGAGGTGGGACGGGAAGGGAGGACGGGAGGCGGGACGGGAGGTGGGACGGGAGGCGGGACGGGAGGGAGGAGGGAGGCGGGACGGGAGGCGGGACAGGAGGTGGGACGGAAGGGAGGACGGAGGCGGGACGGGAGGTGGGACGGGAGGTGGGACGGGAGGGAGGATGGGAGGCGGGACGGGAGGGAGGAGGGAGGCGGGACGGGAGGCGGGACGGGAGGCGGGACGGGAGGTGGGACAGGAGGTGGGACGGGAAGGGAGGACGGGAGGCGGGACGGGAGGTGGGACGGGAGGTGGGACGGGAGGGAGGATGGGAGGCGGGACGGGAGGGAGGAGGGAGGCGGGACGGGAGGTGGGAGGGGAGGACGGAGGACGCGAGGCGGGAGGGGAGAATAGGAGGGGAGGGGAGAAGAGGACGGGAGGCGGGACCGGAGGCGGGACCGGAGGCGGGGTGGGGGAGGAGGGGAGGGCCAGGCCCCGCCCGGCCGGCGTCCTCGCTCCCCCGAGCCCCGAGCCCCGAGCCCCGCAGGTCCGGGAGGAGCCCTGCCGGCCCCCTGGGCACAGAGGCGGGGTCCAGCGGCCCCGCAGGCCCCGTGTCGCCGGCACCGCGCGGCCCCCAAGGCCTAGTCTCGGTGCGAGCCGGGAGCTCAGCGCGGGGCCTGCGGCCCGACGGAGGCCAGAGCCCGAGGTGCGGCCCCGACGAGGAGCGAGCGAGGCCGGGGCCGGCCCTGCCGGGTCTCCGCGAGCGGCGGCGGCGCCTCCTAACGGGGCCGCGATCTGGGGCGTGGGGGGAAGCGGCGCTCCGGCGGCTCGGGCCGGGCGGTGGGCACCACGCGACTCCCGCTCAGGCGACCTCGGCAAGACCCCGTGCGGCCGACCCCGCGGGGCACCGGCTGCGACCTCACAAGTCCGAGACCGAGGAGCCAGAGCTGCAGGCGCACGACCGCGCTGCCTCCCGCGTCGCCGGCGGGCGGGGACGAGCGCTCCGCAGACGCACAGGCCGCGTCCCCCGCGCCCCCGCCCCGCGCCGGCCGAGCGGCCCCGGTCACGGTCCCGGTCCCGGTCCGGGTCCCGGCAGAGCGCGGTGTCGTAGGGCCGCACGGACGTAGGGGGGCGCCGCCCGCCCCGCCGAGCGCGGTGACGTAGCGCGCCGCCCGCCCGGCCGAGCGCGGTGACGCAGGCGCGCCGTCGCCCAGCCCCGCTCACCTTGCACTTGAAGCCGGCGGCGGGCGGCAGCAGCTCCCGCAGCAGGGCCTTGGCCACCTCGCGGCTGGCCTCCTCGCTCACGAAGTGCAGGTTGAGCACCTCGTGTGGCTCGAATTTGGCGAGACGCAGCAGCGAGCGCAGCGCCACGCGGGCCTTGGCCTGCAGCGCCGCGCTGTGCTCCGCCTTGGTGAACATCATGAGCAGGTGGTAGTCCACCGGCCCGGGCCCGCCGCCCTCCAGGCCCTTGGCCTTGGCGCCCGCGGCCGGCGCCGCCGAGCCCCGCACCACCTCCGGCGCGGGCGGCGAGGGCGCCGCGGGGGCCCCGGCGCGGGCCTCCTTCAGCCTCTTGGTGGCGCTGGAGAAGGTCTCGCGGCCCGAGCCGAGGTAGTAGAAGGCGCAGACGGCCAGCGCCGCGGCCAGCAGCAGCGCGCAGTAGTGGGAGCGCACGGCGGCCAGGCGCGCCATGGCCCGCGCGCAGGAGGGCCCGCCTCGCCGACCCATGCGCCCCGGGGCTGGCGGACCGGGCGGCGGCGGCGGCAGCGGCAGCGACCAGCACCCCGCAGCCGCTCAGAAGCCCGGGCGGCGGGCGGCAGCCATGGCGGGGGCGGGGCCGCGCTGCTCGCCGCCAATCCGCGGGCGCTGCTGCCCGAGGGGGCGGGGCCGCGCGGCCGCTGCTGGGTCCTAGACGCAGCGGGGTTCGGGCGGCGGGGGCGGGGCCGGGGTGTGCGGCCGCCGGCTGTCCCGGATGCCCGGCTCCAGGTGCCGAGCCCCGAGGGTGCAGACGCGCCGCGGCGCCGGCCCTCCGGGAGCAGGAGCCCTGAGCTGCACGCGCGAGGGGGCGCAGTCCGGCCCCGCCCCCTCGCCCCCAAACGTTAGGAGGCTGCAGGTCCTCTGTCCGCCGACCTGCAGGCGCTGGGGATCCACCGAGCGAACCCCCGGCTCCTTCGCGGTCCGGGGGGGCGCAGCGGGAAGGAGCGGGGTCCACCGGGGCGGGGTCTCCCCTCCCTGGGGGGCGGGGCCTGAATGGGCGTGCCCCGCCGGAGGAGGCGGGGTCTGCCGCTCTGGTGGGCGTGGCCCGCGGGAGGGGGTGGTGTCGGTCGTCCTGAATGGGCGTGGCCCACGGGAGGAGGCGGGACCTGCCCGTCTTGGATGGGCGTGGCCCGTGGGGGGATCCACCGAGGGGCGGGGTCTGTCGTCCTGGTGGGCGGGAGGGGGCGGGGCCCGCGGGGGGTCCACCGAGGGGGCGGGGTCTCCCCTCTGGGGCGGGGCCTGTCGTCCTAATGGACGTGGCCCGCGGGAGGAGCGGGGCCTGCCCGTCTTGGATAGGCGTGGCCCGTGGGGGGGCGGGGATCTCCCCTCCTGGGGGCGGGGCCTGTCGTCCTGGTGGGCGTGGCCCGCGGGGGGTCCACCGAGGGGGCGGGGCCTGAATGGGCGAGCCCCGCGTGAGGGGGCGGGGTTTGCCTCCTGTGGGCGTGGCCCGCCCGTCTTGGATAGGAGTGGCCCGTGGGGGTCCACCGAGGGGGCGGAGCCTCGGCCTCCGGAGCCTCCGGACGCGCGGGCCGGTTCTGGGCTGGCCCGGGAGGCGCGCCGGGGGACTCGCCCGCGGTCCGGAGCTCCTGCGGCGCCGACCACGCGCGAGTCGTCACCCGCGGCCCGAGGACCGAGCGGGACCCTGGCGGCTGGAGGCACCTGCGCGTCTCCCCGCGGCTCGTGTCCTCGTCGCTCCAACCTGCAGCTTTCGGAGGAGACGCGTTGGCCGTCGGCACCGCCTGACCCTCCGCAGGGTCAGCCGCGCCGGGGACACCCAGGTCCGCCGAGGCCCGGCACGCGAGGCGGCGAGCAGCGCTCTCCGGGTGGCCGCAGCCCGCGGTGACGCCCCCGGAGCCCCCGCCGCAGGCCGCGGCCCCCCGGACCCCTCCCCGCTCCCCCGACGCTGCGTCTTGGTTCGCACTGGAAGCCCCTGGGGCGGTTGGCGGAAGCCACGGAGCGCCGGGCCCGTGCGCCCCCGAGAGCCTGGGCCGACAGCGGATCCTGCGCAGACCACGGTGGGAAGAGCGGCCCCAGGCCCACCCCACCCCCCCCACCCCCGTCCAGCCCTGACCCAGGCCACTGCCTCGAGCGGCCTCGAAACACCCAGCACCCACCGTGTCCAGAGAAGGCGCCGCCCGACAGCCCCACGAGGGCCTCCCAGGACCTAGGCAGCCCCATCTCTCTATCGCAGGAAGGCAGGATCTCAAGGAAATAGCAAGTACATCTGCTTTTTTTTTTTTTTTGCCATAATATCTTGAATACCCCACCCATTGAATGAACCTCAAAAATCCACCCATTACCAATCAGCATTTTTACTTCTAGGAATTCATCCTGAGGATATAATATTTATATATTCATATATTTAAATATTGATATTTATATTAAACATATTTATCCATAAGGATAAAGCAGAACTAGATTTATGACGGCAAGAGATTAGAAACAACATTCATCAATAAAGTGGTTAAACAAAAATAATGATGCTGTCATTAAAAGTGATGTATTCACCAACTGCAAGGGGAAACATTTCAAAATAAACGGAGGAATAACTTGCAGATTTAGAGACTCGAGATACTGATTAGCCAACTGCAATGAATGGACCTCTATGAATTCTAATTTGAAGAATCTGTTTTTTAATTTTTATTTTTTTAAAGATTTATTTATGATAGAGGCAGAGACACAGGAGGAGGGAGAAGCAGGCTCTATGCACCAAGAGCCCAACGTGGGACTCAATCTCGGGCCTCCAGGATCACGCCCTGGGCCAAAGGCAGGTGCCCAACCGCTGAGCCACCCAGGGATCCCCAAGAATCTGTTTTTTAAAAGCACATTGATGGCAGCCCGGGTGGCTCAGCGGTTTAGCACCACCTGCAGCCCAGGGCGTGACCCTGGGGTCCCGGGATCGAGTCCCACATCGGGCTCCCTGCATGGAGCCTGTTTCTCCCTCTGCCTGTGTCTCTGCCCCCCCCCTCTCTCTCTCATGAATAAATAAATAAAATCTTAATAAATAAATAAAAGCACATTGGTACAATTGGAACAATTTGAATAGACTACAGTAGTTTTACAGTTCAAGGAAATACAATGTTGTGATTGGCTTTTTTCTTTTAGACATACATACTGATTTGTTAGTGAAATGTCTGAGATTTGATTCAAAGTAAAATCTGGGTAAGAGAAAAAAATGGGTGGGAGTATTGATAAAACAATGTTAGCCATGAGCCATTAGCTATTGAAATTATTCTATTTTGTATATGTTTGAAATTTTCCATAATAAAAACTTTTTAAAATCCTCCCCCAAAGTGATGTACAACACTTGACTTAGAAATCTGTTCTCCCCCCCCCAAAAAAAAGAAATCTGTTTCCCATGTGAGTGAAAGCAGCAGGTAACAGTATGATCCCATTGTATATCAACTTAAATACACACACACCCAAAGTTCTAGAAAGATATATACCAAGAAAGTAAGTTTCCCCCTCAAAACTATTCAACAGCACTTCCTACACTGATGGATGGCCATGTTCTATAATCTGTCCTGTTCAAGATGGCAGTCACAAAAAAAAAAAAAAAAAAAAAAAAAAGATGGCAGTCACTAGGCACTTGGCTGAGTGCTTAAAATGCAGCGGTGGAATTCAACTCTTAATTTTGTCTGACTTTAATTAATTTCAATAGGTACATGTGGCTAGTAGAGACCATACTGGGAGCTCTGGCAGATGATGGAATGATGATCCTCTTTTTTACGTATTGTTAAACATTTTTCTACAATGAAAGAGCATTGTTTTGCAATAGGGAAAAGTAAGTTATTTTCATTTAAAAAGATTACTATTGGTGTGGGTTCTCTTCTTCACAGAACTATTCTGAAAATGAAGTGAAGAGTTATAAAGAAAGTCACACAGAAAAGTTTTGTGTCTGCTTTTCATTGACTTAAAAGGAAAAAGCAGATGGTTCACTTCCAGGTCTGTTTTTTCAATCCTCCATTCCTTCTATCTCAATTCATAGAAAAACATGTTTTTGTTTGTTTACTAAAAGGATTGAGTGTGAATGTGCTGCCTAGATGGGGAACTTCAACAGATGCCAATCATAATGGAAAATAATCAGACCTAGCCCCCACTTCCAGCAAAAAAAAAAAAAAAAGCCTTTGTCATTTTTAGCTATTGAATGCATATAGCTATGTGCTCATAGAGAAATTCTTTTTTTTTTATTTTTATTTATTTATGATAGTCACACAAAGAGAGAGAGAGAGAGGCAGAGACATAGGCAGAGGGAGAAGCAGGCTCCAAGTACCGGGAGCCCGACGTGGGATTCGATCCCGGGTCTCCAGGATTGCACCCTGGGCCAAAGGCAGGCGCCAAACCGCTGCGCCACCCAGGGATCCCGAGAAATTCTTTAAAAGATCAAAATGGATTTCCTGATTGAAGCAACCAGCAAATAGGATCAACTAGGTCAATGTGACAGAGCTGGAAAGGAACAGAAGACCTTAAACAGGACAGTTCCTAACAGATATGTCTGCAGTTGTGGTTCACAATAAAGTGCAAGTCTGAGCATAAAAAAACTATGCCAGAGGTGAGATTTTTATTGACTTATTATAATTTTTCAGCATACAAAGTATTTTAATCAAGTATAATATTTACAATTCTTACATAATGTACATTTTAGAATGACTATAAAGATAATGAACTTTTTGCTCCATTTACAATGACAAACTACAGTAAAACTACATTCATGAATTAGATACAAATCCTCTACATACTAATAAAAAGTAAATGGAGTGTTGGTTATACATTCTTTAAAATATGTCTTTTCACAGGTAGCAAGAAATATTACATGTAATAAGTCTTTATGACTGGAATGATCCAGAAATACCACAAAGCACAAGTAAACACATATAGAAAAGTAGCTCATCATTTTCAAAAGTTAACCTTTAGCCTTTGTGTAAAATAAATGGTGCCAGCAATCTTTATAATGTAGCAAGCTTTCCCTGTTTAACTCTCAAGGCAAGGGATTGTTGAGGAAAAATAAGAAAATCTAAAACCTAAGATAGAGAAAAGACCAATGCAGAGAAAAGTTTATTTAAATCAAGCCTTATTTCACTCCCCTTATTATTTCATTTTAAGGGGATGAATGTATGTAATTGGGAAAGGAGGGCCACAAAACCATGTTTACAGACGTCAGGATTCAGCTAAACTGAATCCAAGCCCCTTTTAGTTACCTTTCATTCGGAAGCATCAAGAATTTGATGAATATATGGTCAGTTAAAATTACCATGTTTTGCTTCCATTGATGTTAGTACAAAAATGTAATATTTCCTACAATTTAACGTCTTCAAATCCTAATCTATTCCTTCAAGGTAATTTTATATCCAGGTTCTCCAGAACATTTGGAGTCTTTGTTATAAAAACACAAGGAAAGCTGGCGGTCATTATCAGATTTTGCTACTTTATAATAATTTCAAAACATTTCATGATACAAGTAAAGTGCCTCTGACTATAGTAGTCAGTCAGACAGGGGTTCTGCTGTTGGCTATCCCACAACCAGCAAATCAGTGACTCCCCTCTGTAAAACAAGAGGAGCAGCCCAGGATCAAACAAGAGAAATGTTGGCATTCTTAGATTAACATCTCAAGTCCTACTGTCAGAATCAGGGGAGATAATGTCAACGTACACTGTGCGCAGAACAGTACACAAAAGAATGTTGTTATAGTTTCACCACGCTTCATCCACTCATTTTTTTTGTGAGGAGCTCTGAATTCAAAAAGCGTAATAACTACTAGTCAGTGCTCTTTCCACTATATCATGAAGGTGGAAGTCATTCTGGACATCATAATTCTATAAAAATACATCATTTTTTTCCTGCTCCCATCCATGATCAAAAGTGCTATCAAACAGAAAAATTAGTATGACAATATAAGAGTGCTACGGGAATGTCTTACTATTTAAAACGGGTAGTCAATTTAATCTTAAATACAATTTGGTTTGTTGTCACCACACTTTACAAGTATAAAATTATATTTTTAAAATATTGCTTAACACATCACAAACTTAAGTAGTCCAGACTGTAAAGGTATATATATATTTTTTTTTTCAAAATGCACTCATGAAGAACCAAGGTACATATTCCCAATTAAATTGTATGTTTTGGAAAGTAAACATCAAAGTTCATTAAAATCTACAGTGAAGACCAGTAAAAATTAGGCAAACACTATAATGTACTGAATCCCTGGAAATTTCTGAATTTCTAAGGATTATGCCAAAGATAATTTTTAAAAACCTTAGAAATCTTAAACATAAAAGTGTTACAAGGAAACACTGCAAATAACTACTCAATTACCTTTAGCCTAGTTCTAGCATGGGACTGCATTTTATGGGCTCTTCATAGCACTGCTATTCTTATTTTGATGTTAATCTAGCTTTTAAATTAATGTGCTAGTGACAACAGGCTAATAGAACAATGATAAGGAATCAGAAACCAATAGAAACAGATCAGTTAGGGAAAGAAAACAAAGGGCAATCACATTGACTTATGAAGCCCAAAAGCAGGATTAACATTGTTTATACTATAATGTCTCATAATGCATTGCAAATAATTCACAGCATAATAAAACCCAGGTCTGTTACATACTGTATAAAAGCTATTAGTTGACACAGATTCACCTTGGTAAGAGCCAATCTACTTTGTAACTACTTATAACTATTAATTTACTTTAAAGCCTTGCTGTATGTTCTGCATCATTTCTGCCAAATTTCATCCAAACTGGGTCTTGGCATATTCAAGAAATCAAGCCACAGGAATGTATTTTTGTACTGCCAGGCTCCCTGTACTGTTAACGATTTAGTTTCTCTGAGGATATTTAGAATCATGATCATCTTCAAATATATCTCTAACCACTAAATTTAAGTAGACACTAATTACTAGCATATTAATAAAACTCATGACTCAAGCCAGAGGAGGTAAGTGTGTCATAAACAATCGCCTTCACAGTCAGAGACCCCGGAGGCGATCTGAAGCACCAACCACTGGATCCCAAAGCAAAACTGTTCAGGTTTCCTCAAAGGTTAGGAGCTTTAGAAGTGAAGCCCTAGGATTAACAGCAATAGGCACTACAAAGGAATAGGCACTCTTTCTGTTCATGTTTAACATATTTCCTTATCCTTGAATTTTTTGGACAACTTTAGAGTACACTCTGATAAAAAATGTTACAGACTAAACTTCTGCAAAGCCAGATGATCTGTGACTCTAAGGTAAAACAAGGAAGATTTAAGGTTCCCCTTACTGTTGCAATTAAAATACAAGTTTTGGAAATTAACATTTTCTTAGAAATAATTCATAAATATATCTGATGCTTATCTAATATACAATGATTATTACAAAATAAGCATTATATGCACACAATTTGGCCAAATATGGAAACTTCTCTGTGATGAATTTACTTCAGTCTAATTCCTGTTTAGACAAATCCTGGTTTGACATTCTATCAACTTATAAAACTCTAGCTACTAGAGGGATGGATGTTAGAAAATTTGTTTATCTACCCAATTAAATATAATTTTTCTACTTATTTGGTCACCCAAATTTTTAAAATTTATTTAGAAACTGAGTATCAGTAATACCACTTAACATGTAACTTGTAAAAGAAGATTAAACTTAATTGTTGACAGTATTAGAAACAATAAGGCAAATTACTTATTTTGTACTCCTGACAAGATATATAAAAAATGGAATCAGACAAATTTATAGCATTTATATGTAAATGAGTAGATCCATGTTTTGGAATTCCAAGATCAGTGTTTCATGTAACCACCCAATTTAAAGTAATGTACACTGTGTACAGATGTACACAGGATAAATGTTGAAAAAGTTAAAAAGCACCTCATCATTATGTATTTTAATATAAACTAAGAAAAAGTGGGCTTTTTTTCTTTTACTCAGTTCAATAGCAAAACTCTATCTTGAAAAGGAGAAACTTCAAATATAAAAATGCTCTACATTATTTTATAAATAAACTTTTCCTTTGAAAGTTACAATCTGATGAGAGCATAATTTTGCAACATTCAAGTAACCTCTGAACCTCCAATAAAACCTCATAGTTTTATTACATCAATAAATTTGTCAAGGTTTTAGGAAACCAACCCAACAATGATGGACTACAATTTCTATAAGTAAGGATTTTGGTTTTAAAAAAAAAAAAAAAAATCAAGGGCTTCTTTTTGCTTCATAAAATGAAATAAATCTAAAAGACTGAGTTATGTCTATTTGTACAGCCATTACACATGCATTAAAGTACATGACAATAACCAGACATCTAAAGAGTATCACTACATTTATAAGCAAATGAGGGAAACTTACTCTCTAGCTATGGTAATTAAATTACATATTGTGTGTATGATATCTAGGACACCAGAAAACAAAACAAAAGATTGAACCACCAAAAATCATCAGGGAAGCTAAAGAAAAAAACATATTCTTCAGACAGGCAGGACTGTTGGCTCCCACTTTGAAGCAGGTATGTTTGGCTGAATGATCCTGGGCGTGATGCATAGAAAAAAAAAAAAAAAATCAATGCTACCACTCACTGGCAAAAACCAGAGATTTTGTCCAAACCCTTAGCATCTTACAACCTAGAGATGGCCTAAGTCTAGATTTGACTTTATCTATAAAAAATAGCCCTTTAAACAGGCTTTTTTTGTTGTTTTTTAATAACAGAGGTCTTAAAGTAAGTTTGTCTCCCAACTACTAGAACTCTAGGTTTTAATTTATAAAAATATCAGTGAATGGGTACCTTTTTTCCAAGCCATTCAATATCTACTAAAATTAAGTAGTATTAAAGCAGTAAAAATTTGTGAGATTTCAGATGTACACATTAGGGGATCATTCAAATTAATATTTTCCCCTTCTGAAAAAAACTCAGAATTTCTGTGAATCTTGCTGGAAACGATTCAGTTTCTCTGGATTATTGGATGCCATTTGGGAAAAATCACGAAAAATATCCTGGTAGGTTTCATCACCTGCAGGAAAGTAAAATAAAGACACTTTTATAATGCATTCCATGAAAGTATTAATAAACAACATTCATTTTTTATGGCTAGTAACTATATTATAATTAATCATATTCAAGTTTTGCTCAGATGAGCATTTTTGGAAGAAAAAGGACTAATATAAATGCTGGAAAAGCATATATTGAAAGAAAAAAAGCTATACCTGAAAAAAGCACCTCAGATGCAGCCACAGAGGAAAGCTCAGAGTTAGAAAAGAGCAAAGATGCAAGTGTTTTAAAGCAATGTAAGGAAATACATTTATTTACACAGAAATAAAAGTCATTCTAAATGAGGTATAGTAAACAAGGCATTCTTTAAATAAATATTTCCCTTGATCAAGGCCAAAAGAAAAGACCAATAACAAATACTAATGCTTCTGATGGATGCAAGTTATTAATAAGACAAACCGATAATCAGGTACAGGTAAGGGAAAAAAAAAAAGCCTATTTTATCTTTTAGTTAAAAGGCATTTTAATTTAAATATCATGTGAAAAAGAAATTCTTTACTCAAACTTTAATGCTTAACTAAAATTAATGCACCTAAAACACACTGCTTACTGAGATTATGAAATAATAAAGCCTAGAAAATGACTATATAAAGTCAGTTTCACATTTAGTCAGAAGCTTTTTGTTTACTGTAGGTCACATGAGCAAGAGTGCTATGAGAAAAGGGGAATAGATACCAAAGACATCTGTTAAATTAGAGTAATACACATATGTATATACGTACAAATATGCTTGTAGAGAAGCAGAGTATAGATACTGATACTATAGCAGACTGAATACTGTTGTTCTTGCCGTGAGAAACTAAATATATAAATACATAAAGATTAATTCCCTGGACAAAGGGTTTGTATAAAGTAAAATCTTATTTTCAAGATGAATCTTTTATCATGAATATTTCCTGTTAAACATTAGCTTTACACAGCTTAGCATAGTTCTGTTTTCAAGATTTAAACCATCAAATGCCACTTTAAATGATTACTGCTGCAACATGGTTTTATAAGTACTTCCCATAAGATATCTTGCATCCATCTTATTACATACTCATTGCTACAGCTGATAATAGTGCAGCAAGTTTTGGCAGCTTTTAACAAGCGAGATTTTTGAGGCAATAGGTGTCATACCAAAAGCTAGAGAATCGGAAAAATGCTGGGGGAGGGAGATAAAGATCTAGTAAAAAGGTCTAACAGCATAACTCAAGATTTTCAATAAAAAAATTTTTAATGTTTTTAATATTTATCACTTTTAGTATTTAGTCTATGTAAAAAGCAAATTATTAAAATCTCTATGTAGTTTTCATTTAGGCCTGGAAATTTTCTCATGACCTATATCAATCAGTCTTCTCTAAAATGAAAAAATATAGTAAAAAGAAAATCTTAATAGGTTGGTTAAGAGTAGCATCTAATTCATATTATGTTATTAAAACAATAAAAATAAAATTTGATATACCAGAACAACTGTTAAGACAATCTAATCACACCCATGAATTCTTAAAAGCTAAACTCTTCACATTAAAAGACAAACTACAAATCTATTCTCATTTTTAGCCATTCTAAAGATATAAAATAAACTAAGAGACTGACATTAAATATCAATTAACAAAACATACAAAATATTAAAAAATTCTTATTCTTAGATGTTGAATTAAAATATTTAAAATATTTATTGTAAACATTATAAATATTTTTAAAATACTATTTAAACTTGAGAGTCTGGAATTTTACTTTCCAAGGAAGTGTAAAGTGCAGAATATAATACAAAAATAACACACTGATTTTACCATTCAACACCAGAAGTAACTTAAAAGGCACACATTATGTACATTCAGGAAGAAACCAGGAGAAGAATCTAAGCAGACGCTAATGCCAAACAGTTTACAGATAGCACCAGATGAGCAGTCTTAAGTATTACAACAGTACAATGGCAATATATGGCTTCTACTAGTAGCAATGCATATTCTGTATAACAAACTGTGGGGTTTTTTTTCTTTTTGTGGTTTTCCGGCTTTTGTTCTTAAATCATCTAGTACCTATTACACAAGTACATTTTAGTGGAACCATTGTACCATGCAAAACAAATTATAAGATCTTTTATTCACTGAATTAAATGCTTCCTTGAAGGAAAGTGTTGGTGCTACACTAATCATTGGTTTCACGAATACATTTTAAGAGTTAGTACAATACAAAAGGAAGTCTCACCTTCACACACACAAAACTTCCTGTTAACATTCAGTTTCTAACGAAACACTAATTAATGGACTATCAATAAAATACCTTTCTTAGGCCTCAAAATGTATTATCAAAAAGCAAACATTACAATAACAATAGTGACTAAGATATTTAGTATAGTTAACATAAACTGAACTTCAATGTGACTCTTTAAAATTTAAGTATAACTTTAATCATTTAGACTTTTGCCCAAGGCAAATAGAACTTGTCTACACGAGAATACATGAACAGTAACCCAGAATATGCTGCCCTGGAAAGTTCAAAGAAGTACGTTTAATAGTTTATTACAAATGGTAAGCAACTAATCACCAATATTTGTAATGCTAAGTTATATGCTTTAAATTACTTAAATCACATTCTATTTCTCTTCGGATAGTTAACTTTTCTATGTGCCCAGACAGTTCTGAATTTTTAAAATGTGGACTGCTATATGTCCACGGATAGTTTAAAATAGTCTTTGATTTTTGGTATTCAGAAGATCTATTGCAACAGTGATTATGATGATCCAAGATTTTGTTGATTTTGCTCTTGAAACGCACTCCCCTCAAAGAGATGGCAGCACGTGAGACCCCACCCCCAGGTGATCAAGTATATGATCCCACCCTTTCTGGGCTGATTACAGCTTCCTTTTGAGAACTGATTAGATCAGTGATCAGCCTTTGCCAGCAACATATTCATATAACCAGCCCTGGTTCACTAAAGATCGTTAACTAACTGAGAAACTCTGCCAACAATCAAGAGGAGTCATAGAGCCAAAGACTGTGTGAACCACCAAAGTGGTTTCCAACAATTGAGAGCAGGGCGTGGTATTACATTCACTCACCCAGTCCTCTTAAGAGTTATAGGAACTGATAGAAAGGGATCTATCTTCCCCGCAGGAAATGTGTGCTCTTATATCGCCTTGCAGAAAACAGGGAGTCTCAGGTGCTTATTATGGTTGTAGATAGAAGATTCACAAGTGGAGTTTCTTAGAAATAAGTCCATGATTCCCAAAAATTATATCTGAGACTTTTAAATGATAGCGCTCTTTGTTATCAAAAGATTGAAAATACCTGCATTTTACCAAAATTCTGAGGTATTGCTAGGCAACAAAAAAAAGGATCTCAATAAAGCAACCAAAATTAATGAGAGAAGAGTGACAAGTGGAGGGAAAGAAAGACCTACTGCCTGAGCAAATATTTCTGCTCTCCAAAGATTCATGAAGGAAAAGAAAAGTAGCCGGAGAGCAACTGCTGTGCCATTTCACCACATCATGGCATAAGTATAAAATTGTTCCGCTTTACATGAGACCCCCCAAAATGCATTAAAAATCTATTATCAAGATCATCCTCTCATTTTATCTGTTGATACGCCATTTCCAGAATTCTGATCTATTTTAAACTCTAAACTAAAATTTGAGAGCAAGAGGAAAAATATTTGTTTTTTTTTTTTAAGTGAGGCTTTTTTTTGTTCAAATTTTCAGTCAAATCAATTAGAAAAATTCATTTTTCTACTGAGGAAAGTAAAGTGTATACTCATAAACTTATACATAAAACGACAGTGAAAGAGACATTTGAGTGCTCCTAAATGGTGGCAGCAGAAGCCCAAGCAATTTGGGTGGAACCAGAAGTCGCAAGAACATAGAGGCCCTGTCCTTTCAAGCTTCCCAACTCCAAAGGAAAGTCCACCACTGACCTTATGACTAATCAGTTGGGTGTAACTTCATCAGCAAATAGCTTAAGGAAAGAACAGCTGACCAAACATTTAATTTTAAAATTTCAGGAATAAGAATTATTTAACTTAAAATCCTGAAGTACACTCTTACCTCACAAATATCAGGTCATATCCTTTGAATAATTTTTATTTTTAAAGTGCTTAAACATAAAGGCCTCAAAAACGGCCTAGTAATACTCTCACTCAAGTGTATCTGTTACAAAATTATAACTTATTTAAAATCTAACATTCAAGTTTAAAACAAATGGGTGAAATTCAGAATTAACACTGACACTTCACCCTTAATCAGCACTCTTCTATCTTGGTATATCATGATTCAATAGTATTATTTGATCCATAGGATTAAAGTGGGACACCCTAGATTAGAAGTATCTAGCTGAAGTGCCTCTATTCTCAAAGTTCTTACTTGTTCTCTATTAAATGAGACCAATAATAAATAGTAAATACAGTCCACTGAGAAAAGAATGGCCCCCATATTTATATTAATTATATATTAATCCAATTAAAATAAAAGTTAATGGTTGAAGCTAGCATTAAACTACCAAAATTTCAAAACATAAACAGGAAGAATAGATGATATTACCAGGCCACTTTTAAAATAATACATTAATATTCATTTTTAAAAAACAAATATACTTATTGAAACTAATATTCTCAATTATTTTGGTCATGAATTGCTGAAATCTTTTTACTAATATGTGAATGAATTTAAAACAGATAAACTAGTAATTCATATACTCAAATTCATGAAACTGGAGATCCAATTATTACTCTTTTCTTTGTGAAGAAGGTCTAATTAGGAATCTTAAAGATAGGAATCTGATTAGCAGCAACATTTCTTCCTTCTCCTGACATCTTGACTCAAAGGTGAAAATTACTCAAAATGAGATATGAACTGATCCTGAGTTGAAGTTTCTCTAACAAGTTTACTCTGTCATCAGGTTCATGAAATACTGTTCTAAATACTTAAATTTTTCCAACAAATACTGTATACTGGGGGGCAAAGCTACAATATAAAGTGAGATCTTTTCTCTATACCTTTTAAACTAACTCCATTCCCATTATGGACTTCTTAAACTAATAAATTTTATTTTTAAACCTATGACTTATTTTTAGATCAGAGTACAAAACTCTTCATTCAATAAACTTTTTCTAGGTATTTTCCATACTGGCTTTTTATATGCCAAACACATGGTGATTTGTTTTTTTCCCTGAACACAATTTATAGAAATTCCCTGAATAACAAAAAGAAAATAACTGTTATATTCACTTGACAGCTAAAGAGAATTCCAAAATGAAAATGACTATTGTGCTGCTGTAAGGGTATAAAGATAGGTTATCATTCTGTTCGTATCACAGGAATGTATATGGAAGACATCTGTACAGCAGAAAAAGAAGTCAGCAGCCGAAGTTGGACACAGCAAGTCAATGTGTACTGTAGTTGGAATAGTTATGGATTTTTAAAGGCTCGAGAGTTAGTCACTCCCAAGAATTCAATAGGTACAATACATAACAACTCACAATTTACAAGTTATAAAATCTCTAGAGTATTAAGTCAGTTTGCTAAAGAACTATGAGTCTTCCAACTGTAAACTAATAAATTCCTGAATGCATTTCTTATATTGCATTTCAGTATGGTTATTAGTAGAATATTGACCTGGCTGTCCATAAAGTCCTTCTGATTCCCGCATCTCTTCATTCATTCTTGCTAAACGTAACCTAAAATTAAAGGAAAAGATTTTTAGATGAAGTTCTGTAATATATTCATAAACTAGTAAATTATGTAAGCAGGTAAAAACATACACTGATACAATTTTTTTCTTTTCCCAGTACTTGCCACTAAAATAGATGGGATTTTAGTTTTAGCTTTCCTTTATACAATTCTCATGAGAGAAGACAATTATAAGATTTCTTTTTTTCTCTTTAAAGATTTTGTTTTGGGGGCACCTGGGTGGCTCAGTAGTTGAGCATCTGCCTCCGGCCCAGGGTGTGATTCCAGGGTCCCGGGACTGAGTCCCACACTGGGCTCCCTGCAGGGAGCCTGTTTCTCCATCAGCCTGTGTCTCTGCCTCTCTCTGTATGTCTCTCATGAATAAATAAATAAAATCTTTAAAAAAAAATAAGATTTTACTTTTAAGTAAATCTGTATGCCCAACATGGGGCTGGAACTCACAACCCTAAGATAAAGAGTCGCATGCTCTACTGACTGAGCCAGCCAGGCTCCCTGACAATAAAAGATTTCTAACAAGTACATTTCAGCTCTGTTTAAGCAGGACCCTTGCGGCACTTCCAGTAGCTTACTTCCCTTCCTCCAGACTCCAGAGACTCTACAGCAAGCAACCTGCTGCACTTTAATCGCCAACTATATAAAATATTGTTTCTATGGTATGGAATGTCATTTGTACCATATGAATTCATTCTGGTTCACCCTGAGGTGAGGTAGTTCTAGACATGTAAATAGCATGTGTTATGTCTAAACAGTAGAAATTTATTTTGATGTATTAAATGACCATAGGTTACCAAGATTTTCCCAAGATTAACATTTGGTTATATATTCTTTTTTGGGTTATTCATCCTGGCAGCAGGAAGACATGCAGCACTGGATTAAGAAAACAAGAATTTCCTCCCATGACCTGAATTAAAACCAAGAGTCAGATGCTTAACTGACTATACCACCCAGGGGCCCCAAAAGGGACCGCTATTATAAGAATTTCTTTCTCTATACCATCCCTATCTTTTCTTTAATAACTTATCTTTATCCAATGGTGGGTTATTTTATTTTATTTTATTTTATTTATTTTAGAGGAGAGGAGAGGAGAGGAGAGGAGAGGAGAGGAGAGGAGAGGAGAGGAGAGGAGAGGAGAGGAGAGGAGAGGAGAGGAGAGGAGAGGAGAGGAGAGGGAGAAATACATCGTATGAGAAAAAATCAAGTAAAAAGAAAACACTTACAAAGTCACTATATCAGCATTGGCTGCTTCCACAGCGATAGTCAAAGGGTCTTTCCCTTCTTCATCAGTGGCATGTTGATTGGCACCTCGTTTTAGAAATAAACATACCTGTCTGTTTAAGAAAATAGCATTTTTGAGATATTGCCAATAAGAAAAAAATTAGTATTCACCTTTAAAAAATAAAAAGCACTGCCTTTTAAAGAAATAACATTTTCATTAGGAAATTCTAGACTCATTCTACAACTATTTATTGAACACTGACTCTAATAATAAAAATTTACCATGATTGGCATTTTACAAATCTCAAGATGTTTTCACAATTAACTTGGTACTCTGTAGCATGGTGGGATGTATAAATTATGGCCCCTACCCTCAAATAAATAATACCAGAAAAAGATGTATACACATATCCATAAGCTTAAATAAGACTGAAATCACTCAAGGTCATTATCTGGGAAAGAAGAAAGCCACAGCAATGTTAACATCATTTAACATCATATCGATCATCAACTCAACCAGCAAAGAATGGAAGGTAATCCTCCCACTGGATTCCACAAATATCATAACTTGAAGAAACTGACAAAAATGAAAAAAATATGGAAGAATAAGCAAATGGGGTCTATGAAGAAAAATGGAAAGAAGAGTTGTTTAAGAAGAAAATGCGAAAGATGAATTAAAAACGAACATTTTTAAGCATACAAAAGTTTTTATGATGAAGTTATTGAACTCAATCTTTTTGCTAACGGACAAGAGTAAGCTATGATAAAAACAAAATGCTTTTAAAAATTGAAGATGTTTTAAGTAAATTTTAAATTTTTTTTTTTTTATGATAGTCACACACACAGAGAGAGAGAGAGAGAGGCAGAGACACAGGCAGAGGGAGAAGCAGGCTCCATGCACCGGGAGCCCGACGTGGGATTCGATCCCGGGTCCCCAGGATCGTGCCCTGGGCCAAAGGCAGGCGCCAACCACTGCGCCACCCAGGGATCCCCTTTAAGTAAATTTTGAAAAGAACAGCATCTTGCTTGTTGGAGTAATAAGAATTGGGTATCCTAAGGCAGTTTATTTAAAAACAATCACCTATGACACAAACTTTTCATTTAAGATCAACATTTTGACTTCGCTTGGATCTTCTATTAGAAAATCCATGTTCATGGCTTTATTGTTCTGTGAGTCTAAATATTGCTTCAGAAGCCTCAGCATCCCAATTACTCTACACCTTCCTAACCAAACCAATATTCAAATTCCCCCATTCCACCACCCCATACCCCCTAACCCACCCAACCCCAACTTATATCAAATCACAAATATTTCCAATCCACCAACAACCCCATACAAACTAATAATCCCCCCTCCCCCACAAACCTTTATACCTAAAACAATCACCCCCATAACAAACAATATTCAATACCCTAACCCCCAATTCAAATCCCCAAACATAAATCACCTTCCCCTACTAAAAAACATCATTCAAACCCAAAACCCCAACACACCTTACAAAAAAACCACTCTTACCAACTTACCCTACACCCAACCACACTCCACCCCCCCTTACAACATTGTCACCAAAACCAATCTCCCCCCTCCCCTAACTCTCTCACTATCTCTCTCCAAAAACACCCCACCCCACACAAACAAACATACCTACCAACTTAAACCCCAGATATACCCCTCTACTATTCCAATTAACCTATTTCCCCTCCCTTCACAAGCGTTGCATCTGACGCCTTGATCTTGTTGGAATGTCCTCATTCGCGGTTTATTAAGATTCCCCCCCAATCAAATTATCACACATGTGTGTGTGTGTGTATTGATACCTCATGAATATATATATGATATAGACATTGTTGTTTCCACAAGTACAACAAAGCAATCAACTATAATTTACACATAAAAAACCTGTATTAATTCACAGATCGCCTGTTTCACTATACTAGAGATTTTTTAATTGTGTTTCCGAACCACACTCGTCCCTCCCCCGCCCCCCCCCTATCCTCGACCAACCCCCCACTCGTATAATGTATTTTTTCAGAATCCCCCCCCCCACCCCCCCCCCCCCCCCCCCACCACACCATCCCCCCCCCCCCCCCCCCCCCCCCCCCCCCCCCCCTTGTGTGTGGGAACCTCTCCAAAAAGCAGAGAAATTACAAATTATATTATTTTCTTTCCAAGAATGACTTCAATAGGGATTCAATTTGTAGTCTGTGATGTAGCAAAAGACAGTACATTCATCACCAAAATTCTCTTCCATTGAGAAAAAAAAAATTTTTTTGGACTTACATAATCAAAAGTGATCCTCAGAAATAACTACTAGCTTTTTCTTCTACTTTCCAACCCGTATCTTTTTTTTTTTTAATTTTTTTTTTATTTTAATTTATGATAGTCACAGAGACAGAGAGGCAGAGACACAGGCAGAGGGAGAAGCAGGCTCCATGCATCGGGAGCCCGACGTGGGATTCGATCCTGGGTCTCCAGGATCCCGCCCTGGGCCAAAGGCAGGCGCCAAGCCGCTGCGCCACCCAGGGATCCCCCAACCCGTATCTTAAAGCAAAAAAATAATGCTAAAGCTATGTTCACAATGAATTATGATTTTTTTATGTTTTACTGTATATGAATTCATACCCCTAATACAGCCTGAATAAGCGGTGTTGCTTTATTTTCCTCTGAATTAGCCCAGTTCACATCCGCGCCATGAGCCAAAGCCTCAGCCATTTTAGGAAGATTTTTTTCATATGAAGCCCTATAAAGCTGGAGTCCTGGATTAAGATGTTTAGAGTCGAGAAACACAGAATAATCTTGCCTTTCTGCCTCTGAAAAGCAAACACAAATACACCAGTAAAAATAAGCAGGGTGAGCAAGGATAGGAAGTTACTGTTTCTTAGGTACAGGGTTTCAGTTTCGGTAAGACAGAGAGAGCTACATGGCTGGACAGTGGCAACGGCAGCACAAGGGTCAATGCTTCACAACTGTCCATTTGAAAATGGTGAAGATGGTAAATTTTATATTAGGTATATCTTACCACAATTTAAAAAATAAAAATGAACTCTTACTACAATAAAAAATGTAAAAGAAACTACTGATTTAACAAAATGAGCAAACTGGAGATTTCCACAAAAGTATGTTATTTCCAACAGACTGATCACTTCCCAACCAGTCAAACTTCTTCTCTTATATCAATTGGTATGCTAGACCTTTGTGGTCCTCCCAGTATTCAATGCAAGGTTAATTACTCCGTACTAGATTAAAATTGGGTGTTATTTCTGTAAGCCTGGATTTAAGGACTCAACAAGAGCTGGTGTTAAAAAAAAAAAAAAAAAAAAAAAACCTGAAGAATTTTACTACTAGACCAAACCTCACTTTACCCCAAGAATGGTCCAATATCACCACAATTTACAGTACAAGCCATTCAAGTAATTCAAAAAATGTTCACTACTGAGTAATTTGCAAGATCAAAAATCATGGAAATCACGAAGGAGAGAATATAGGAAGACGACACAGGTCAGAAGAAAAATATAATGTGGAAGGAGCTGCTAATCTCTGTCCTGATAAAACAGCCCAAAAGCGTATTAAGTCATAGTTCATGTGCATTAAAAAGTATCCTCAGCGACTGGGCACTTTTAGCATGTCTTATGAGGCTTAGAAGAACATACAACTAGAAGACAACGTCCAAATAGGAAAAGAAACAGCTGCCTTCTCATTTAACAATGGCTTCCAAAAGGCTTCTTTAGAAATTATTTAATCAAGACTAAGGACAAAGCTCATGCATTTTCCAGCCAACAGTCTCAATTAACATTGAATTTCACCAGAACTCACCAGGCTCATATAAACTATTGGCAGACACCGTGGAGGGTAAAGATTCTCTTCCATCATCAGAGCTCTGCTGGATCCCACTATCATTACTTTTGACTGTTTTAAAGAAAAATCAGCTAGTGATTAAAGTTCATGCCACTCAGAAAACAACCTACCACTAACAACAGGTTTGAAAATGAGCTCTGATACGCCAACATGAACTCAGCCACTACCAGAACACATTTAATACAATTTTAATCTTTTCAAACATTCAGCTTATCGAAATACGAATCAATCACAAAGCTGGAAAATAAACTTCTCTTCAGAGTCGCAACACATCTTATTATTACCCCATAATATGTCAGGCGTGGTGAAGAGCTTAATGTATTGTATGACTGCAAGTAATGTGTAATTCTGAGACAATGGGTAACATCAAGAGAAACGGCCACACTGCACAATGACCACTGGCACAGACTTGGAATGCTCCACAAGAGTAGTACTTACTACTACGTAGTTTTGAAGAAGTATCAAAGTAGGAGAAGAGTGAATCTAGCTCATCAGGACAGAACAGAGACTCCCGCCTGGCCTCGTCGCTATTTACAGCAACCACTGGGGACATGCAAGTTAGCAAAGCACAAAGCAGGCCATAAGAAGGGAAAAGGGCAGGAAAAAACGTTACTGGGGGAAATTTAGGAGGAAAAAAATAGGAAGGATATTAGGTGGTTAATCAGATATTTAGGGCTTGTTGCCATGATAGATTTATAATTCCCATCTCCCCTTGCATTTTAAGCAGTTTTATTCCTTAGAATATACACATTACCTAGAGATGTGAATTACCAAGACACTATTCAATTTTAACTATTTTAAGGCCATAGAAACCCAATTTTTCCTTAGAATACGTAGAAAGAAACAGATTTTTAGCATTTAAATAATCTGCAATGGCTACTAATTCAGAGATTAACAAAGTGACTTCAGCTTAAGAAAATATTTCTATACGCAACAAGTAAGCCATGGTACCTGAACTTTGGGGAGGCGCCCTGACTGGGTCACCCGGCCCAAGTTTCGAAATGCTCAGCCTCTTTTCTTCGCAACTTTTGGAGACCATCCTTTTTTCCTGCTCAGCAGGTGATGATGATATAGCATATTTATCCACAAATTTCCTCTCCACATATTTTGCTTTGATATATGCCTCTTTCTCCTGTCTGGTATACATAAAAATGTCATGATATTCTGTTTAATCTCTTAGTATGGCTGATACTGAAAAGAAGCCATTACATACCGAATATTTCCCCAAAAGTCACTAAATGTATTATTAGTTAAAATTAAGTTTGTGATATTATGCAACATATTTCCCTTCCAAATATTCAATAACTATGATCTCATATTCAAATGAAATAACAAATAATAAACTAAATGAAAAATCACAAGTATTAACATGACACTCTCTTATTCTCTTAATTTCTGGGCTCATTCAGTTCTATATATAAATGCCCTGTGCTTTTTTACAAAATGGAAAATATTACCAAGAAAACTTTAAAAACTTATAGAAATTAACTTTGATTTCATTTTACTCCAATGGATAACATCAATAAATGAACTAGCACTATTGTCGGTCATGATTTTTCCTAGGACAGCTACTTTAAAACAACATAGCATTCTTAATTAAAGGAGAAGAAAAAAATGTCACATTTTAAACTTTTCTGATATGATCACAAAATGCCTAATCCATTCTATTTGTTTTCTTACTTATGTCCTTTTAAAATAGTTCAATCTTTGCCTAAAATAGGTTATTCGAGGTCTGAAATAACTTTGGCCATACTTTAGCAAATAATCACACTTAAGTGATATTAATTCAGACAGCAATAACTTTAAAATAATATTGATTATGCATATGGATGCCTGGATGGCTCAGTTAAGCATCTGCCTCTGGCTCAGGTCATGATCCAGGGGTCTTGGGATCCACACAGTGTAGGGCTCCCTACTCAGCCAAGTGTACTTCTCCCTCTTCCTTTGCCCCTCCCCCTAACTTGTGTACTCTCTCTCTCAAATAACAAAATCTTTTAAAATAATAGTGATTATACATAAAGATTTAGTTGAACACAAAAACCCAACACAAGATTACGGCAAGTAAGATTTTAATGCTAAAAATAAAAAGCCATAAAGACTAAAAGCAACATCAACAATAAAAACTAATTATGTACTTTGAGGGCATTCTTAGCCAACTTCATTCAATGAGCTTCCATATACAGAACTGGAAGTATAATTTCAAACACAGCAACTAAGTACTCTCCCCTACGAGAAGCTACCCTTTTACCTTTAATTCTTTACCATCATAATGCCATGTATAAATTACATGATTAACAGACACACACACACATCACACACATACACACACACACACACACACACACACACATATATATTTTTTTACAGAGATAAAGAGAGAAACTAGAGAAACAAAGCCCAGGCGGGGGGGCGGGGGTGGGCACAGAGTGAGAGGGAGAGAATCTCTTTTTTAGGGAGAGAATCTTAAGCAGTGTGGCTGTCACGCCCAGTGTGGAGCCAGAAGCAGGGTTCAATTCCTCAACCCGAACACCATGACCCAAGCCAAAATCAAGTTGGACACTCAACTGACTGAGCCACCCAGGTACAGATATTATTATTAGCAGATATTTACTGAATGAAGTCAAACAATGTTCATTGTTGGCAATAGAAACTTAATCCCTAGAGACATTAATGGACAGATTATCTCTTTTTAAAGACCTACCAATAACACACTTGGTCTACTTTAACTGCTAAGAGCTTTTACATTCTATGTAGAGACTTAAGTTTTAAGATTCTCATCTGGAGCCTATAGTTGATTATCTAATCAACAAAAAAATAATTATCTAACACCTACCCAAGAAAGAGCCATATTTTAACAGAAACAGTACTGTTCTCTTCTAAATAGTCTGTCTCAATATTACATATCAAACATTACAGTGAAATAAAATCATAGCTATATTCCTGCTTATGAGAAAAAAAAAGGAACACATAATACCTTTGTCCTGGTTGTGGTTTCTTTACTCCCATTTTTTCCACTTTAGCTTCATAAACTCGATTTATAACATCATTTCCCAACTCACACATAAGCTGTTTTGGCAGGAAAATACAAAAAATAAGCTACAAATTCCTAAAAATACTATAAAAGTGCTTAAAGCAAGTACAGTTAACTCACTCCTTCTGCATATTCTGCAAATGCTCATCCCACAAAGATGTTTAAAGTTAAAACAAAATAAGACAAGGACTAAGCAATATCATTTGCCCTTAACAATACCTCCCCCTAGAAGACTATCACTTTTACAAGACAGGGTTTCTCCTCACTTACCTTCCCTCAACAATGGCTAGTACAATGCTGCATATTATTCACAATGGTTAGTAAATTAAATGAAAAAAGAAGCCTAAAGCCAAATAGGTTAAGTTTTAAAATGGAAGTAAACTATTTTCTCCATATATTTATATCTACAAATCTCAAAATACTTTGTTTAAAAGCTCATGGTTATATTTTTTAATGTACCAGACTTGTTTCAACCAAATTTTAAAAACTGAATCTACTTGGACACCTGGGTGGCTCAGTGGTTGAGCGTCTTGCTTGGGGCCAGGGCGTGATCCTGGAGACCCCGAGTCCCAAATCGGACTCCCTGCACGGAGCCTGCTTCTCCCTCTGCCTGTGTCTCTGCCTCTCTGTGTCTCTCATGAATAAATAAATAAATAATCTTAAAAAAAAAAACTGAATCTATTAAGTTCATGGCTACAAAACTGATGTTGAGAAATTAGGTTTCTACCTCTCATCACCTACTTTCTTCTCCTTTGAATTCATAACAATTAATAGAATCAATCTAAATAGGGCTCTACTTTAGGAGCCAATTTATCACTTTCATCCAGATGTTTATACAGTAATTTCACAAAGCAAATTTTTTACTTTACATAATTGAGAGGATTACTGGTTTTATCTGTGGATTGAAATAAAAATACAAATACATAAAGAATACAATTTCACACAAATAAATGCAGAGTATACTACAATCGTTAAACTAATATATATATTTTTTACAATATGACAAACTAAATGGTGGGAATTAAAAGGAATATATCATTAGCAAATATGAGTTTTATAAACCTTACCAGAAACCAAGTTGTGGTCTAAAATTATTTATGACATTTTCATAGATATGGATCCCCACACAAGGTGAAAGGATGTCTTAGTTGGATAACTACTACCTTGAGTAGTTACTACCTTCAAATGGTCCTATGCTAAAATGGCCCAATCATAACAACATGCTATACCCATCCATTCTGGAGCATGCTGGTATGTCTATTATATTTTCAACAACAATTTATATAATCATAAAAGATAAAAATTAAGGCACAGAATTGATGGGTTTTTTTTTGAGAAAACATAAAAATGTAGGAATACTGTTTTCCTTAAAAGGTAAAGTGACTTGCAATTAAAAGTGCTACATAAACTTCACAATTTAAAAAAACCAATATGAAAATACCAGATTTGCCAAAATAGCCTCAGATGTGTTTCAATAGTTTAGTTTATTGTTAGCATTAAGAAGCTCATACATTTTATAAATCAAGATTCTAAAATCCTGATCTTTTATGTGAAAATTTGAAATATTTTTAAGCAATTATGTATTTTACCTTTAAAAGTTCAGGCTCCCAGGTGTCTAAAGTTAAAGATCGTACTTTTGAAAAATGAACTCCAAGACTCCTAAGAGGGAAAAAAATATATTAATATATAAAGCTATTGTCTTTATTCGCATATTATGCGAATTATTTCTCTTTTAATGGGACATAGTTGCTATGTCCCCAACATATATGTAAATACGGAGAGATCGTCTGGTTAATAATAAACAGTAAAATAAAGTCCTCTAAAGCCCTCCAAAAGCCAGAATTTTATTCACTTTACAAAAGTTACAAAGATACAAACAGCAGTCAAACTAAGGCAAGTGGAAAAGGCCCTCTAACCAATGAGACACAATAATTTACTATGTGTATTTATCCAAAAGACGTCTCCTACCCCGTACAGGCCTACCCACCTGTGAATCCCAGAGCACTCGATACACAGAGTGATGCCCAGGTTGATGCTGGCCCACCGTGGGTCGGCCAGACCACAGTCACAACAGCTGGCATTGCCAGGAATACACTGGACTCGCTGTAGTGCACTTTCTCCTTTCAATAATTTATCTTTTGACTCATTTCCAGAATCCAGGCTTCCTGTGGATGGAGATGATTTCTTATCCAGCTTCTAAAAAATTAAGAATTATTTGTTTAAAAAAAAAAAGACTGTAATACTATGCTACACTTTACATGCTCCAAATAAAAGCTTCCAACCAATAAATTAAAGGGTTATTATGGGCCTAAGCCAGGCACTGTTCTAGGCATTACAGATTCAAGGATAAAAAGATACAGCTTTCTCCATCAACTGGCATTTAGTCTTGTCAGAAGAAACAAACATTGCAAATGACATATATATATATATATATATATATATATATGACACAATGAACACATGTGCAAAATACAAGGGGACAGAAAAAGAGAAGCACTAAATTAACATGCAAGATTGTAGATAGATGGAATAAACATGAGACTATTAAGACTCTAGAATAAAATATTATTATTTTATACCAAGTTTTTCCAAGGTATTCAATGAACTGCAAGCAAATTGTTTCAGTTATTGTAGTGAATAACTGGAAATGGTATGGCCTTTTACCAAAGAATAAATCAATTACATAATTATAATTATATTCCCACCAAGGGAAGTGAGAGCCCCAGCAGGAAGAAGAAAACACTAGAGTGAGGTGCCTGAGCCTGAGTAGGGGCAGTTGGCAGCAAAGAAGGATGTTGGTTACATAAAGGGAGACTGATCAAATATGTAAACATGTTAAAATTAAAAAGGAGCCATTTATTTATATGGAAAGGGAGAGAATTAGAACAACCCTGTCGTGTGTGATTAGAACTGGAGATAACAAGAGACACATAGATGGTTTTCAATATAAACAGATACAAAAACAAATATGAATATAAACATGTCTGTGCATATACACATACATATATTCCTTTATTTTTGTTTCTAAAATCCATTCGCCAAAAAAGGAAGTTTCTTTGCAGAAACTGCTGATTGTAGCACTGGTGCAGAGAAAGTGCAAGATGAACCTGGAACACCTCATCTTGCTAGAAAGTAAGGAGGAACTCAGATAGATGGGAACATGTCAAAAGGATACAGAAGCCAGGGCTCCACTGGCCAAACTTGGGTCAATTTGAACAACAAAACAAAAAATGATAGTAATGGGTTATAATACATTGAAAAGAAATAGTGGCTTATACTAACATAAATAAAATTTAAAGCCTGATGAGGAACAGAATATTCACATAGTCCCAAAATACCTCCCCTACAAAATACTTATTACGTACAAAGAGAATGTAATAGTAGTACATAAGTCTAGCAAACACCACCTTAATCAAGTGATCAAAGTTAACATCACCAATAGCAGGACAAGTCAAAGTTATGTGCCACCTGAGTACACAGTGAGAAGAACACAGCATCATTTATATGATACATCTGCCAAAGATGCATAACCTAGTGAGTAAACATCAGACTCACACTGAAGGACATTCTACAAAATAACTAGTTTCTATCTTCAAAACTATCAAGGTCAAGATCAAATTAAGACTGAGGCTCTATTCCTGAGGGAGGGAAAATGAAGAGCTATGACACCTAATGTTACCTGTGCTTCCGGACTGGATCCTTCTGCTATAAAGAACAGTACTGAGACAACTGATAAACTTAAAGATGTTTGGAAATTAAATTGTAGCCATGTATCAATGCTCATTTCCTCATTATGATGGCAGTACTGTGGTTTTATAGGAGAAATGTTCTAGGGTGAGGAAAGTAACACTAAAATAATGGATGATAGGGCATCATGTTAGAAACTTACTCTGAAATAGTTTTGGGGGGGCGCTATTTGTACAATACTTGGAACTTGTCTTTTTGAAATGATTTCGATATTTTTTAAATATCTGTTTTACTAGAACATGTTAATAATGTGAGTTACCCCATATGCAATTATCAGGTAGGAAAAAAGACGTCAATATAATACAGAAATTTTATTGGCTCATTCCCAGTTTATAAAAGTTAGTTTTTTGCACCAAATTATAGAAGCTGAAAGCAAAGTACATTACACAGCAGAACCTGGGCTAGCCATCTTCAGGAACATAGCATAGGAATAATCATGACACTCATTCCCCCCATTCTTCTTTTTGGCTCATTTTGGCCGTGTGCTTGAACTTAAAAGTGTGTATTACACTCATTCTCTGATCTTTATGTATTTTGCCTTTGTCACCATGACTGAGTAATCTCAACCCTACTGTATCCTTCCATTAAGCTATCTTCAACAATTTTTTAAAGTAAAGTCCTATCTATATACTGTAGTATTCATTTATTATGAATTTAATTATGCTAGTATTTTTACTGAGATTCAAGTTCCTGCAAGTAATTTTAGTTACAAACTTACACAGATTGTTAGGGCAGCCCTATCCCCATTTTCCCTATAACCTCTATTATTTCAAATGTATGATTTTCATAACATAGGTATTTCAGCAATGCCACCAGCTTCTTCATCAAGATGATCTGGATATAATACCCCTAATTTTGTTCCTTCTTAAAATTTTGCTAAAAAACATAAGAAAATATTAAAAGGTATTATCCCAAGCCTTTATTGGACAAAGCTGTGATAATCTGAACATTAAAAAAATGTACTGATGTTGAGTATCTTTCTCACGTGTCTGTTGGCCATCTGTATGTCTTTTTTTTTAAATAATTTTTTAAAGATTTTATTTATTCGAGCAACACAGAGAGGAGAGAGAGAAAGAGGCAGAGACACAGGCAGAGGGAGAAGCAGGCTTCATTGCAGGGAGCCCGACGTGGGACTCGATTCCGGGTCTCCAGGATGATGCCCTGGGCTGAAGGCGGCGCTAAACCCCTGAGCCACCCGGGCTGCCCAACCATCTGTATCTCTTCTTTGGAAAAATGTCTATTCAGGTCCTCTGCCCATTTTTAGTCAGATTATTTGTAGGGTTTTTGGTGTTGAGTTGTATAAGTTCTTTATATTTTTTAGATCTTAACTGCTAACTGGATATATCATTTGCAAATACCTTCTCCCCTTCAGTAGGTTGCCTTTTTATTTTATTGTTTCCTTCACTATGCGGATGTTTTTTTATTTTAATGTAGTCCCAGTAGTTTCTGCTTTTCTTTCCCTTGCCTTTCTAGACATATCTAGAAAAATGTTGCTATGGCCAATATCACAGATATTGTTGCATATGTTCTTTTTTTAGGATTTTCATGATTTCTGGTCTCACATTTAGGTCTTTAATCCATTTTGAGTTTATTTCTATGTATGGTGTTAGAAAGTGGTCCAGTTTCATTCTTTTTGCATATAGTTATCCAGTTTTCTAGTACCATTTATTGAAGAGACTGCCTTTTCCTCCACTGTATAAAAGAGACTGCCTTTGCTTCCTTTGTCATAGATTAACTGACCATGTGAGTGTAAGTTTATCTCTGGGCTCTGTTTTCTATTCCTGCCTATTTTTGTGCCAGTACCATACAGCTTTGTAGTATGGCTTGAATTCTGGAATTGTGACACCTCCAGCTTTATTCTTTCACAAGATTGCTTTGGCTATTCAGGATCTTTTATGGTTCCATACAAATTTTAATATTATTTGTTCTAGTTCCATGAAAAATGCTGTTGGTATTTTGACAGGGATTATACTAAATCTGTAGATTGCTTTGGGCTTTATGAACATTTTAACATTATTAATTCTTCTGATCCACGAGCATGGGATTTTAACATTATTAATTCTTAATAATAACATTATTAATTCTGATCCAAGAGCATCTTTCCATTTGTTTGTGTTCTCTTCAATTTCCTTCATAAGTATTTTTACAGTTTTCAGAGTACAGGTCTTTACCTCCTTGGTTAAGTTTATTCTTGGGTCTTTTATTCTTCTGGGTACAATTATAAATGGAATTATTTTCTTCATTTCACTTTCTGCTACTTCATTATTAGTGTACAGAAATGCAACCAATTTCTGGGTATTAACATCGTATCTTGCAACTTTACTGATTTCATTTATTAATCCTAATAGCTTTTTGGTGACATCTTTAGGATTTTCTATATACAGTATCACGTCATCTGCAAATAGTGACAGTTTAACTTCTTACCAATATGGATGCCTCATCAGGGAAATGCAAATCAAAACCACAATGAGGTATCACCTTACACCTGTCAGATGGCTAAAATAAAAAAAGACAAGAAATTACAAGTGTTGGTGAGGATGTAAAAAAAAGAACACCTGTGCAAGGTTGGTGGGAATGTAAATTAGTGCAGCCACTATGGAAAATAGTATGGAGGTTCCTCAAAAAATTAAAAATAGAAATATGATGTAATCTAATAACTCCACTACTAGGTATTTACCACAAAGAAAATGAAAATGTTAATTCCAAAAAATATATGCAGCCCTATGTGTACAACAGCATTATTTACAATAGCCAAGATATGGAAGCAACCCAAGGATCCATTGATAGATGAATGGATATAGAAAAATATGTGTACACACACACACACACACACACACACACACACACACACACACGAATATTATGCAGCCATAAAAAAGGGATGAGATCTTGCCATTTGTGACATCCTGGAGGATGGACCTAGAGGGTATTTTGTATGCTAAGTGAAATAATTCATACAGAAAAAGACAAATACCACATGATTTCATATATATGTGGAATCTAAAAAACAAACAAAAAGCAGAAACAGACCTATAAATAGAGAAAAAACTGATGGTTGCCAGAAAGGAGGGGGATGGAAGGATGGGCAAAATGGGAAGGGGAGTAGTAGATAAAGGCTTCCAGTTATGGAATGTATAAGCCACAGGGATGAAAAGTACAGCACAGGTAATACAGTCAATGGTACTGTAGTAACATTGTATGGTGAATATGGTGAGCACAGGATAATGAATAGAGTTTTCAATCACTGTGTTCTATACCTGAAACCAATATAACAGTGTGTGTCAAATACACTCAAATAATTTTGTAAAAAAAGAATAATTAGTGGAATTAATTGGGACCTATTATACCTAGAAAAATCCATGAGTCTATAACAATATCCAAAAAATTAGAGGCAGCTACTAAGGCAGCTAATAAACTAACCAAATGTGATAACTAAAAGCAAAAAATTGAGTATTTTATTACAGTAACTAAATAGCTCCAGCTGATAAACAAAAGCTATATTTAACATAAGAATTCAAGTTAATATAGATGGGATGACAGAATTAGAAAATTATCATTTTGAAATTCCTAATGAAATCATAAATTCATCTGTAAAACCATTAGATGAATGGTTGGAGGGGGAGTAGATCTTATGGGATCAAAGTAACACAAAGTAGACTTATTACACCAAGCAACAAAGTAGACTGGGAAAAAGGGAGGGAATGTTAACTTTACAGTCGAGGAGTCATATCATCGTCTTTCTAATCCAATAGGTCACTTGGAATATGTCACACAGAAGCCTGACAGCATTAGCAATGAATGGTTGGATAACCAAGTATTCTGTGTCTCCTGTTGCAACAGAAGTATACACATCACCTATGATTTAATTGTATCAGTAGAAATTCTATAGAACAACTAAACTTCTCTCCTCAGTAAGTTACTGTCATGAAAAAAAGGCCTTGCTCTAGACTGAAAGACGTGAGGGACATAACAACCAGATGCAATGCCCAGTCATAGATACGATGCTACTTTTTTTACAACTGGAAACATATATGACTAGGTAATAGATGATATGAAGAAATTATTACTAGGTATGAAATGAGATGACTATAATCTAGTCTAGAAAGTTTTTGTGTTTTCCTTTAGTTAAAAAAAAAAAAAAGACATTTGCCCATAAAAATAAGGAGAACAGAGAAGCAAATAACAGCAACAAAATTTTGGAATCTGGAAGACGGATGGATGAACAGACCAAGGCCAAATCTTAACAACGGCAGTAGTAAGTAAATATGAGTTCATGAATTTACATGACACAGAGGGCTCCAGGATTTATATACGAGTTAACCATGGAAGTGGGAATCAAAGTGGGACAAAAGACTGTGTAAGGAGCAGATGGATCCCAAGGTGCCTTCCCCAACTCCATGCATTTTGGAACTGCTCCCACACATAAACACAAATGACTAGAATTTTATTTTCTGAGGCAGTAAAACAGAGTCTCTCTCTGGACAGGATTTACCTGAAAGGTAGAAGGCAGAAGATTAAGTGAATATATACACACTGAATGCTAAGATCCCTAATAAGTTCCCAGAAGCCCCTTCCCCCTCTTCAGGAGACTGACTGATGAGACTCCTCTGGGAAATCATATCAGCTTAAAAGATTCCAAAGATCCTAACTTTCTAGTTATTCCTCAGCAAATGGTCCAGACTTCAGAGAAGCTCATAGTTAACAAAGTCTTTACTATGTTCTTAGAGCATCCAAGAGGGTTTTAGTGTTTGACTTGTAATCAGAACAAATTACCAGATAGCCAAGAAAAACCAAAACCTCTGACACAATAGTTCTCAGCATTGTGTATATATGGAAACCACCTAGAAAGCTTTTCAAACTATTGATGCCTGGGTCCCAACTCCATTTAATTACTCTGGGGTGGAACCTATGTATTGGGATTTCAAAAAAATCCCTGTGTTATCATCACGGCAGCCAAGTTTGAAAACCATAGCTCTAACACTGTATCCATGAAGAAAGAACAAGTTTACATGTATAAACATTCAACAAACAAAAAGAAACTCCTACAAATCTAATATGAGCTAACAGAACTAAAATATTCCATAGAAAGTTGTGAGATTAACTGAGAAAACTGTCCAGAAAGCAAAGCAAAAACACACAAAAAAATCAGAAAAATCAAAAAATTAGTCCAGAAATCCCAGAAAAAGAAAACAAGAAAACTGGAGAGAAGCAATACAAAAAGATCAGTAACAAGAAAGACTCCAACAGCAACACTTAAAACTAGAAAAACAATGCTGTTAAAATTCTTAAGAATAATTACTTCCAACCTATAAACTCCACACCCAACCAAACTATCAAACAAATGCGAGGATAAAATAAAGACATTTTCAAACATGTACAGACTCACAAATGCCTCATTTTCAGGAAGTTACTAGAGGAATTGGCAAGTTCCATTTCTCAAAACTTACTCATGGCATTGCTCAAAAGTCTATAAAATCACTGGGAAGCTGAAGCCAAACTATGACCCACCACTCCACATTCAACTTATCTTCAGGTAGACTTCAATCCAGAGACAATTTGAGTTTTCCTTTTTTTATTTTTACTAATTACTATTCATCCATTTTTCACTAACTTTTATTAATTAGAATAGTAAAATATTTTGGGAAAAATACTTAACACTAGAATGCTGTATGTCAATCTAGGACATATATTCAAATATTGAATTAAACATATATTAAAATGATAAAGTGAAGAGAAATAAAAATAAATCAAATCTAGATTTTAATAGTAAAACCTCTTTCAATTATAAAACTCATCATCCATTAAAAATGTTATAATTATATAATGTTGCAACTAAAATTAAAAACTTCTGACAATGTATCATTTTGTATTACAATATTGTTTACTAACCTCTGATTCATCACCCTTCTCTCTATAAGCAGTGGCAATACTGGTCTGAACAGCCTTAATCCATGCCTGGCGCAGCTTTTCAGAATCTGCCTGAAGCATACAACTTCTAAAAGGAAATAACATTGTTTTCTCAGACACTAAATTAACCCCTCAAAATAATAATAATGTTTACTTTGCTGTTCAATAATTTTCTAACATTAAATAATTTCTTTTGAATGCTTTTATTTCATCTATCTTTAGGACAGAGTATGTTCATGAAGAAATCAGTAGAAATGAAATAAATTGCTTAGTAGAAAAAAAAAATTAAAAATCCCTGAACATTAAAAAATAACTTTAAATTTACCAAATATAACACTAATTTTTTCTATTGGGTACAAATATGGATTGATCTGGTATACGATGTTAATTCATCAACAAGGCAGCCAAAAAGTTTTCATATGGCCACATCAATAATCTTTATGAAATTTAAAGAAAATGATACTGGGTAAAAGTTAACATAAATATCTCACTGTTATTACCTATAATCATTAATTATTAAAATTTACTTTTAAGGCACCTTTTTCTCTCTCTACCATAATCACAAGTAAAACAAATGTTTCTCTATTCTGTAAAGTTCTTTAAAACAAACTACAGAAACTTAAAAGCAACTCTCATTCTTTAGAACCACTTACTTTGTTGGAGAGACTACCTCAAAGCAGAAACGTCGTTCTATGTCTTCACAGTGTTTCACTGTGCAGAGCCTTAGATCTTCCACTACCACAGTGGGGTTATCCTACAAAAAGGAAACAAAACTCCTATGTTTATCAACTTAGCTTTTAAGTACTACCACCAATAATAACATACTTAAAAATATTACTCAGAATGAATGGTCTAATTTTAAAGATTTATATTTATCTAATTTAGGATTAGAGATAGGAGTTATCAACATAGATACAACTATTAAAGGTAACTGTGTCCTGTTCATAATTTTATCTGTCTCATAAAATTGCTATACAAGGATTAAATGAAAGTATATGTACAGAGCTTAGTCTAAAACATGGTAATTAATAGGTATTCAACAAATGTTAGCTCCTACTAACTAATTTTCTTTCATTATCCATTATTCTCCTGGTCCCCCTTCACATATAATAAAAGCTACTTTCCTCTAAAAAAGGAAGCTTATACATTCTTCTTAAAATACCTGAGAAATGAGAAAGCTTCTATCATTTTTCTAGTACTTATCAAAAATATAAAGTCAAATCCAAGTTTATCAGGGCAGAAGAAACCCTGAACTGAGTTAGAATAATGGACTTCTGTGGAATAAGCCTGCTAGCACAGAACGAAGCAAATAAAATTTCAGATTGTGTATCTCAAGAGTAAAGTGTGAGTACACTGTACACATGTACAGTTGAATACATCATTCACAAAGACTAGGTATAAATCAATTCATCTATTAAATAAGGGATTTTTTTTCCTAATTATTTTTAACAATTCTCAAGTCCCATATAATCTCAGTATGCCTTCCCAATAAATAAAAGTCCTCACCCTTAAAATAGGGTTCAGGAAAAGAAATGTTTAAAAACAACATTAACAAATTCAGAGGTTTCTATTTAAATCACTTCAAGCTTACATTTTAATGTCAACTTTAACAATTTTATAGTATCACCTCTGGCCCTAAGGTGATGTTTCTTAAAAGGTACCCTTTTCCTTCAGCCTCAAAATAGTAAAATGGAATGTAGTATTGTTCCTGTCACACAGCTGGTCAAAGAAAATGAAGAAATGAAAGCAATAATCCTGGGACACAGAAACACCTGTCTCAAAATTAGGAGTTAAGAATTCAAGATTCATTATCACTCTGCTTTTAAGGATCAAAAATTGATGCTTTCCACTTTTGAGTTCTCTTATACATGCCTAAAAATAAAACTAATAAAAAATAATTTTGCACACATGAGTATTTATGGGCTTCAGGGCTTTATCAGGATGAACAGAGAACTGAAACAGGGGACTCACTGGGTTTTCACTTAATTAACAAAACACCTACCTTAAACTTTTTCTGGTAAACCAACTGATTGTTCTGTATTGAAAACCAGCGTCTAAATAAATAAAAATAGATTAAGTTTTCATAAACATAATTTATGTCAGTTGTTAGATATATTTGGAAAAGTACTAGAAAATCAGTTGATAGTAATTATGCTTTGAGAAGTGCATTGTTTTGTTTTATATAAACTGATGTCAATGAGAATACTATTGAAAGTAAAGAACAACTTTAAACAGTTTTAAAACCACAGACTAGGAAAATAAAATTACTGTATTTTTATTAATTTTAGGTCAGAAATTTATATCCTGACAACAGCTGTTATCCTTTATGCTATCACCAAATAATAACTGTATTAAGGTAAAAATTTAGTTTTTTTGAGGTTACTCAAAAGTAACTAAAAATCTTTCCCCAAAATAACTGTTTCTATTATAGGGTAGAAATGAATTTATGTTGCAAAAAAGACTATCCATTTGTACACAGTAAAACACTGAAATAAATGGTGCTTTGTTTTCAACTTTTCTGCAGCTAATTCAGCAAGCGTCTGTTCAACAAAACAGGAAATTAAATCATTTAGAACTGATATCAAACAAGAGATAATCGCCAATTTACTTGACCTCGCTTTAATTTAAAATACTTCTAAGCAGAATAACCAAAGTTATTACTAAAAATAATTCACCTAACTATCTACATTGTTCTGCCGCTTCTTGTAAATTATCAGGCAAACAATTTACTTGCAATCTTTTTGAAAGAAAAAGCTAAGCTATAAACGGCATATTTACTAATTCTCACTTATTAAGACAGTAAAAGAACCTAAAGATTTACAAAACAAAAAACAAAAAAAAAAATCACAGCCAAAAGCCATTCATAAAAGGAAGCAAAAATTCTCATCAAGCATGAAAGGTAAAACTATTTGAGACATTATTTCAAAATTAGTTTTACGTAAGATGATTTCTATCGTCAACATTAGTTATTAATCTATTAGCAGACAGAGATTCGACCTTTTCATTGATACTAACAGCACTAGAAATTGTATTTAGACATATTTAAGAAGTTCTATTTTAAAAAATTAAGTTAATTCTCCAAAGCTGTGAAAATGATTAGATGCTTTTCTATTTTTAAGCTAGACAGTTAGGCTTTCTTGCTACTTAAAAAGGTATCACCTTTACCATTAAAATAGAGATTTGTTAAATAAGCATCTAAATAAAACCAAGTGACTTGCCTCTCGTGCAAATCATCAAGAGGCAGGCTAGAAAAGGAAGAACTCCTAGGTTTCTTTGCTCTGGGGCACACAGTTAGTTAGAAATGTTAAAGGAAATACCTATAAACAAAGAAAATGGAGCAGACCTGCCACACGGGATGACATGCAATGGAAACAATCTCTGATGTTGATTAAAGTAGGTCTTTAAAAATCATTTGAAATACGGCAAACTACACTAACAACTTTTAAATAGCAAGGATATATATTTCGATGAAAAAATATAGTTTTACTGCACAAGAGAAAAATACCCATATAATCACATAAACTTTTCATGCTTCTGAGGCTTTTAAAAAGTAAATTTCTTTTGAACTGGTGCATCTTAGGATAACAACCTTTAAAAATAATAACAAAATACTACATAACCTCCCCCCTTTTTTGTCAAAGAGCATTTCCTCTGGTAATTATTAACTTTATAGATCACATATATTTCTGAAACCTAGTTCCCCTGCTATCTATTTGCTTCTGGGTGACTCTTTCATATCATCATTTGAGTTTTCCCTGAGTTTTGTATACTCAGGGAAGACACTATAAATTCATCTTAATTTTGAAAACATTTCCTAAGGAACAAAATCACAATGTATCCTACATAGAAAAAGAACTTTCAATTACTAAAATCTGTAGGTTATAGGACACTAACTCCCGTCTTCTGCCATTTAAAAAAAAAAGAGCCAACTACATTCATTTACACTGATCAAAACTCTAGTCAGGTAAGTAAAATGGAATATAATTTTTTAAATTGCTCCTATAGAAAAATCCTAGGTATTATTAATATTTCTAATAAAAGGGGGCAGCCCGGGTGGCTCAGCGGTTTAGCGCTGCCTTCAGCCCAGGGTATGATCCTGGAGACCCGGGATCGAGTCCCGTGTCGGGCTCCCTGCGTGGAGCCTGCTTCTCCCTCTGCCTGTGTCTCTGCCTCTCTCTCTTCTCTCTCTGTCTCTCATGGATAAATAAAATCTTTCAAAAGAATATTTCTAATAAAAGGCAATATGATACAGTTCATAGCCTATGGTGTTTAAAATAATATTTCAAGTTCATGCTGCCTGCAATTTGGAGCTACTTTAAAAGATAATTAAATAGGGGCACCTGGTTGGCACAGAGAAGCCAGAGGAGGAGGAGGTGGAGAAGAAGCATGCCGCTCTTCATTCTGGGGCTATGAGTTCAAGCCCCATGTTGGGTGTAGATTACTTAAATAAACTTTAAAAAAATTAAGATAATTAAATAATAAAAAAGACAAATTTTAGAAAGCACTATGCTGACAACTATTCTATATTCTACAAAATTCAGAAACTGACCACAAAGTCAAAATACAGATTTTTTTAAAACGCAAAATTTATTGGCTCATTAAGAAAAATAATACACTTTATATCTATCCCAAATTGAAATAACTGAATAAATATTTTAAACCAAAGTTACTAAGTTCATAGACAATTAGATATTATTGATTTTTAAATACATGTGAGAGCTTCCAGATAACCAAACAGGGGGGAGGGAGGAGGAAAAAATACATTAAAAAAATCGAAAAAAAAAATAAATAAATCAAGTGTCTTTACCATGTTTATCATTAGTCCTAGACCTGTACTTGAAACCAAAAATAAAATGTAAAAGTCAAACTTCTAAATCTCTAGAGGCTTTCTCACTAAAACTATAAAAATGATAGATTCACGCACATATTTATTTATGTGCCAAATGGGTGAACATTTAACAAAATTAAAGGCTTTAGCACGTATGCTACAATTTTTCAAATTCAATTTAATTTTTCCCAAGGAAAAAGACCAAGATGTTAAAACAATAAGCTCTAGGAAAATTTTTAAATTTTAAAAAAATTTTTACTTTCAGCAAAACTAATATGATTATTCCTAGTTACTGTTTAAAATTTTGAAAAGTGGGGACACCTGGTGGCTCAGCAGTTAAGCTCTTCCTTTGGCTCAGGGCGTGATCCTGAAGTCCTGGGATCGAGTCCCACATCAGGCTCCCTGCATGGAGCCTGCTACTCCCTCTGCCTGTGTCTCTGCCTCTCTCTCTCTCTCTCTCTCTCTCTCTCTCTGTCTCTCATGAATAAACAAATAAAATCTTTAAAAAAAAAAGAAAAGAAAATTTTGAAAAGTGTTTCCCAGTTTATTTCCCTTAAAAAAAGATAGAAAGGCATTCATATTACTTATATATATCTTTGATATATACAGATATGTAAATATCTATATATTTATTGATAAATATATCAAATGTTATTTTCATTTTCAATTAAAACAAATTGAGGTGATTGGCAATGAAAGGATAATTCCATTTCTCAAATGAAATGTATATTTTCTTCCCAATTTAAAACAAGAGACATTATATCCATTGCAAGTAATCCAACTGAAATGCAGGTTAATTATGAGCTTTCTCGTGCCAAAGAGGAAATTGGAGTAAGGCAGGAATGAGGGGAAGGAAGCCATTTGGTACCTGATATGATCGGGCTTTTTCCTGTCATATGAAAAAATGGGGCAGGATTAAAACATAAAGGAAAGGTGGTAAAAGAATGAATACGCAAATGTGCAAAATAAGCAAAGGACTAGCATGATATGAAAATAAAGCAAGAATTAAAGAAATAAGCTTAAGCTCGTAACCTAACAGAATAATCAAAAATATATTTTGCATTTTGTTCTTAAATTTATACATATATGCATTTACACAATTAATTCTAACTCTTAGGAATCTGAAATGCTAATATTTCAGAAATATTCAAAAATTTTCTTCAATTGTTATGGTATAAAAAGTTCTGGTAGGACTTAGCACACTTGAGCATACTTCTACTATTATTTTTCTGTCTCTATAGTAATACTATAGTAATAGTAATATAAATCATACTTTTCCTCATCTTAATAAGTTGCTCCTAAAAATTTAAGGGAAACAATCACTATAGATAGAGATTCATAAACCTGAAACAAATGACAATTTTCATAGGAAAGTGGGATGACTAATTAAGAATTTCAAAGATTATAAAATATTATTAGCCAAATAAACCTACCTCCCACCTGCTCTCCCCCTTTTCATCAATGACAGCAGACACTCTAAGGCTATACACATAAGTAGGGCATCTTTAATATATGCATACATTTCTTATTTTAAAACAAAAAGCCAACAAAAGTTAAATTTATATCTGTGCTAGCAGCATATAGAATACTTTAAGAAACTGTTAATACATTTTATACTTTTAGGTATATTTACTTTCTCGTTCAACAAAGACTAATCATAGCATGCAATAATTCAGCTTCTTTATTCATTTTACCAGATTACTACTAAATAATCTTAGAATTTAATTATTTTCCTTGTTCCTTCACCTTTTCTGAATTTATCATAGAAAGCAAAAGAGACATATAGGTATGAATAATCCACCTGGCATTGATCTGAGCCTGAGGTAAAGCTGCCAGCCACATGGAGAAAATGGCCTGATATGGAAAGATAATTTTGGTATTTCTCATGTTTTCAGAAAAATATGTATTACAGACATAAAAATCTGAGACACTACAAACTAGAAATCTGAAACCAACAAAAGACAAACTCAACAATTCACATAAGACATAGTGTCTCACTCCTTACACTCTTTCAATCACATCACACAAAATACGGTCTCTTTAGTTAAATTTCGAATTAGAGAATGATGTTTACGTTTTATGACGCACAGGGGCGAGGTTTAAAACTACCTGGGAATTCCTAGTCAAATTCACATTTACCTCAAGAAGGAAGTCTTTTTTAAAAGATGGCTTAAATGGGTGATGGGGATTAAGGAGGGCACTTGTGATGAGCTCCAGGTGTTGCATTTAAGTGTTGCATCGCAAATTCTACGCCTGAAACTAATATATTACACTGTATGGTAACTGGAATTGAAATTAAAACAAATAAATAAATGTTGGCTTTGAAAATATTACATGCCACCATTCCATAAAACTAAAGATAATGGCAAATTTGTCATCCTATGCTTGGTACCTTATAGTGACTACAAGAAAAAAATGCTCCCTAAAACTAATCTACAGACAGTCTAAAGATACTTAAACAGTAGGTAGAAAAATCATTATGCTGAAAGAGCTGGAATCCTGAATCTTTAAAGGTACAAACATCACAAATAGAGTCTTTTATTCAAAGTCAAACTGAATATATGAAATCAAGCTGGATAGAGAACTAATTAGAGAAGGAGGGCAGAGATGCCTGGGTGGCTCAGCGGTTGAGCGTCTGTCTGCCTTTGGCTCAGGTCGTGATCCTGGGAGGAGGTCCCTCATCGGGCTCCCTGCGTGGAGTCTGCTTCTCCCTCTGCCTGTGTCTCTGCCTCTCCCTCTCTGTGTCTCTCATGAATAAATAAATAAAATATTTTTTAAAAAAGAGAAAGAAGGAAGGCAGACTTTAAAGTCATATATGGGTAAAGGGAAGGTATCTGCAAGTATTTCCTGAGATTAGATTTTTTTTAAATAAACTTCACATAAGAAATTTTACATTCCAAATTGAAAAGCAGAAAAAAGTTCTAAATAATATTTAATAGATTTCTTTCTCTCCCTTTCACAGTTACTGACCTATAATCTAGAAAATATCTAAAACTTCTGTTATAAGGTTTGGAATTTTTTTTGTGAGAAGACTTTTATATAAAAAGTAATTTATGCTACATTCCTTAGAAGTCTGCTTTTTACTAGTATTTTCATTAAAATGCTTTTTATAAAGGTATATGAAAATGAAATAATCTGCTGTTCATAATTTTTCCTAATAATGTAGACTAGGAAGTTGTTTTTAATAGTTCTTAAGCTATTTTTAAAATATCTGACATATTGTTTTATCAAAACACAAATTTACATGGAATTTCCACAGCAAGTTAAAAAAACTTTTAAAGCCAGGTTTGGGGCCTCCATCTTGTCACAGACCAGTTGTGTGACCTTCAAAGAGCCACTATCTCTCTGCACCTTTATTTCTTTACTAAAAATTAGGGTTTTGAAACACAATCCATGACTCTAATCAATAACTGCTATCCCACTACAATTAGATGGCATCTCCTTTAAAAAGCAGCCTCATTTTCAAAGGCCAATACGGTCTCTTCCACTTTACAAATGGAAAGTAACATGTCTATAACTGAGAAATTTAAAAGTTATTCCCTACTTGCTTTAGGTATACTTTATTACCTAAGCCAATTAACAGAATTCCTGAAACAAATAATAAATAATGAAAGTTCCATGCTTAAATCAGAATTAATTTTTTTCCTATACCCTAAATGGCAATGTAATTTTCCACTAACACTTACTGTGCTTCATTTTGAAGTCTGAGATCATTTCTCATTGGAGTAGTTCATGGAAGATCATTTCATTTCTTCTTAACATAATGGTATAGTTTCTATGGATTTATTGTATTTTCACTGTGTTAAACTTTAAGTAGGTTGTTTTGAAATCTGAAGGTTAAAATTCAATTCTAACATTACCTCATGAACCCGTACTGGTTGAGAAATCTTTATTTATTATAAAAATTTGACACACTATTTTTTAGTTTTAATTTCCTATTCTGGCTATGAAAATTTAACCAGGAAAAACCTAAAATATTGTCTTAATTTAAATATCTTAGAAGACAGAGTTTTAATTTTTCATTTTCACTTTGTAACAGTTAAAAACACTAATTCTACCCAGACCACTTTAGTTAATCCTCGTGTATTAATACATTATTTTAGAAGTTCTATATAATTCAAAGAGGTTTACTACCAAATATAATCACTTTCCAGCTTATATTCATACTCAAGTAAAGATAAATTATTTCAAATAAAACATACCCCATACATTTAAATAAATATCTGGCAATATCAAATGCTAGGGAAATGTTCAATAAATCACTGACATTTGAAAATAGCAGTGCATGCTTTTTCCATATAAGCTCATCACCAAGAAATCAAAATCAGTGCACTAGGAATTCCTTATAATATATTAAATATTCAAACATAATAGTTCTCATTTAAATTAACAAAAATACATACTAAATTAAATTTACCAAGAATTTTCTATTTATTTTGCTAATATCCATTTAAAAAAAAAATCTTCTCTATCAATAAGTGAATTCATGTTTTGTTCAAGTAGCTAATAAAACATACACATTCAAAACTAATAATGTAAATCAATTCACCAGAACCCAATGTTACTCTCAATTATTACAAATTGGGTTGTTTTTTTTTCTCCCCCCAAAAAACAGAGCCATCCTTGAATAAAAGACTAAGGATGGAAGGATGATCCTGAGTCAACACAATCTTTTTTTTATGCTTTAATGTCTGAAATTATTTTACTTTATTATACTAAATTAGAAGAAAATATAATAAAATATTTTATAATACTTAACAGACATTCACATGATCAATATTTTATAAAAATCAGTTTAACAACAACAACAAAAAGTAACATTTTTGGTAGCCATCAAATTTAGAAGAAAGGAGTACCAACTGCCACACATACTTCACACACAAGAACAATCGCATTTCCTAAAAGTCCTGGTTAAAGTTATTGCAAAGATCAAAAGATCAGGCTCGCCTAGCTTAAAAATTCACAAGCAAACACTAAATTAAAATGTACATAAACATCATACAGAGAAGGAACCCAAAGAAGAAAAAAATTCCTGCTTCCTAGTTTAAACTTTGCTTAAATTTTACAGTTTAGATTTAGTACTAGCATTTTTCACTTGCTTCTTAGGATCCCCTTTCCTAGAAGGGAAACTTCTCTTCAGTGAACTGGGTTCAAGAAAGTTATTACAAACTATGAATTTAAAGAATTATGAAAGAGTTCCCAAATCACAGGGAAGGTTGGAAAACGGAATGCGGAAGGATCAAGACTAGTATTTGAAATATATTACCTGTTCCAAGTTTTGAAGGCATTGCTGGCTCTTTTGAACAGATATCCTTCCATAACAATGCCATTTGCAGCATCTACATTATATTCTAACTTAGAATCATCACTGGAGAAATCCTAGACAAGATAAAAAAAGTTCATATGTTTTTATTAAGTCCCCTAGACAACAAATTTATTGTAGAGAAACAGCTCAAATCACAGGAAAGCTTTGTATTAAGACAATTATATTAACAATATTCATAAGAAAAGGCGAGACTTAAATGTTGAATAATAGAAGAATGCTTCAACATATTAAAATATTTCAATTTGGGGCACTTGAGTGGCTCAGTTGGTTAAGCATATGCCTTATACTCAGGTCATGGTCCTGGGGTCCTGAGATCAAGCCCCATGCTGGGCTCTTGGCTCAGCAGGGAGTCTGCTTCTGCTTCTCCCTCTCCCTCTGGGCCTCCCCCAAACTCATACTCTCTCGTTCGCTTGCTCTCTTTCAAATAAATAAATAAAATTTCTTTTAAAAAGTTAAAATAATGGGACACCTGGGTGGCTCAGCGGTTGAAAGCATGCCTTCAGCCCAGGGCATAATCCTGGAGCCCCGGGATCAAGTCCCACTTTGGGCTCCCTGCATGGAGCCTGTTTCTTCCTCTGCCTGTATGTCTCTGCATCTCTCCGTGTCTCTCATGAATAAATAAATAATATTTTTTTTAATTTAAAGATTTCCTGATGAACTTAAAAGTAATTTGTACAAAACTGCAAGACTACTGCTATCCCCAATTTTAAAATTCTAAAAATCAGCCTCAGAACTTTCAAAATTACTTCTGGACCAAAAAGCAAAGTTAGAATACTATCCTTTTAGGGAACAGCAAACTCTCGGGCTTGAGAAAGATTTTGGCAGAAGCTAGATGACCATCTGCAAATGATGCTGGGATGTGAAGGTTCTCCCTTAGTAGCCAGGCAGAGTGAGAATCACCTAGGGACCTTCCAAACCTAAGTGTCCACAAAGATGGAATATGGAAACAGACTAATTCAGAAAAACAAAATTTATTAAAAACAAAAACCCTGCTGACATCTCTCAAAATTTAACCATTAAAAAAAAAAAGACTAACCCAAACTAATCAAATGAAACAGAATCTATAAACAAATTGCTACATTTTCTCCTGCTTTTCTTTGAAAGAAAAAAAAATCAGGAAAATCTTAATTCCTTCATTTAAAATTTATTTGAGGCTGTAATTTATTTGATTATGCAGACAGGATTATGTCAGCAATAGATAATTGAGTTTGGCAACACTCTAAAGGTTTCATTTGTAATACTGGCAGCTTTTTAATGACCCTGATGCTACTTAAAACATTAAAATATAACACCTCCTTAAAGTACAGTGCTTTATAAGTAATTTTCTAGTTTTCAACGATATTTTTTGAGAAAGGCTGTCTTCAATTTAATTACTATTAATATCAATTAATACTGTATAGTACTTAAAGCATGACAGATTATGATTTTATAACAAAAGCAACTAGTAACACTGTATAAAATATATAATATTATAATTTAAATATATTGATGAGCTGACAAATTAGGAAGAAATACTCAAAGGCACAAGAGAAGCGAAAATAGGAGGCTTAAAGAGGTAAGCAGATCAAGGAAGCCAGATTTCACCTTAAGGGCATTTGCCTCACCAGAATTGGAAGCTTTGGTGTGAGGCTGAGGGAAAAGAAGGCAAGACCAAGACTGACCAATAAAGAGAATCTAGCAGAAACTTTCCCTTCTGAAATTGCAAGCAAAGCAAGAAGGGCCTTTATCACTTCAATTCAAGATTATGCTAGAGGTCCTAGCTGACAAGATAATAAACAAAAAGTAAGGAAGAATCGGAAAGGAAGAAACTATTATTATTTGCAGATTATATGACTTTGTACAAAGAACATCCAAAACAATCCAGAAATAAATTAGCATTAAAGAGACCTTATTAACAAGGTAACTGGTTTCAAAGTCAATACAGAAAAATCAATTTTAATATGTAATAAAAGTAAACAGTGAGAAAAAAATTTTAAGACAACATTTACAGTAACATTTGCAATATAAGTATATATGAATAAATTTAACAGAAGATGTACAAGTAACTATAAAACTTATAAAGGATATAAGAGAAAACTTAAAGAAATAAATATTTCAAGCTCATAGGTTAGAGGACATTATAAAATAAAGATATCAAAAAAAATAAAGATATCAATTCTTCCCCATATTGATTCACAGATCCAATGCAATCAATCAAAATCCCAAAAGCTATTTTTATGCAATCTGAAAGTCTGCTCCTGAAATTTATATAAGAATGCAAAATTTAGGCAATTCACTTCTGAGGCAGAGAAGGTAGGAATCTTAGCTTTGTCAGACATCAAGATTTACTATAAAGCTAAAATAATTAAGGCAGCATAGTATTGGCACAATTAAGACAAAAAGGCCAATGAAAAGAACTGAAAGCCTGAAACAGACTTCATATGTATACAAACGTGATGTAAATCAGAGGATACAACAGAGCAGTAGGGAAAGAACACATTTTTAAATAACTGATTCTGGATCTACATACCAGTATAAGAATACAAAGAATCTGGATCTCTACCTCACACCATAACACAAACACCCAATTATAGATGGATTTAAGGTCTAAACATAAAAAGTGAACCTATAAACACTTAGAAGATTACACCAGAGATATTTCTTCATGATCTTAGGATAGGAAGGACTTATTAAACAAGACACAAAAAGTACTAAACATAAAAGACATTAAAAAAAACTATGTGAAAATGAAAAACACATAGTATATCCCCCCAAGATACACTTAATCCAGATGATATGAAGAATCTGAACAGTTAGGCAGCCTGATGTAAAAATGGAAGAAAAACTAACAGACATTTCTCAAACCAAATGACCAATAAACACCAATAAGGGGAAGGTGCTTGAGTTCATTAGTAACTAAAGCATAAATTAAAACCACAATGAGATGTTAATATCTACCCACTAAGATTAGCAAAAATTAAAAACCCTCACAATACCGTGGGGTGGCCAAGAACACTGAGAACTCACACACAGAGCTGCCTGCCAGGAATGGCAATATCATTTTGAAAAGTAATTTAGCATTATTTACTGATACTGAACATATATATTCCCTCTGAACCAGGAGTTTTGTATAAATCCATCAGGAATATGTACACATATCCAAAAGACATGTACATGAATGTGCATAGCCATCAGTTTCTTTAACTGATCAATTTAAGTTCTTGAAAAATGTAAATAATTACATCAGACATATTTTCCCTTAATTTTTATGACTAAATCTTTTTCCTTTTTTTTTTTTTTTTTTTTTTTTACCTGTAATGCAGCCTTGTGTCAGCATTTAAGGGCAGAAAAAAGCAAAAATAGCATTACTTTCTTTAAAGTACAGCGGTACCTATTACTTAAAATCAAGTAAACTAATTTTAGATTTAATAATCTACTGTTGGATTCTCAGTACAACACCGAGCCGTGTATACAACAGGGGCAAATATTAAAAGATACACAATATTCATTAAATAATTCAGTTTAAGCAAAAAATCTTAAGTTCCTACAAATATCATGATCTCTCATTTTAATTAGAAATGATTGGTCCCAATTTTTAATAATCTCTCCATGGTAATGTCATTAACACAAATTACTCAACCAAAAGTTACTCTAACTTTAAATAAAACAAAACAGAAGTTAGTCTTACCTAACTATAACTGGAAGTAACTAAAGATGGTCTGGTAGAAAAATTTCCCCTTTATGTTTCTCTTTTAATATTAATAACCCATCATCAATATAATTTTCCTTACCTGTACTACTAACTTCACTTTAATTTTTTTCCACTGACATCTTTTAAGTCAGATCTTGTTCACTGGTCATTTATATTCTAAGTAAATCATAATAAAAGTTGATCTGACTAGTCAATACCACAGGAACAGATTTTTAAGCAATGCTAGAAGGCATCTTTTTTTTTTTTAAGGGAACACACAAATAGGGTACCCCACCACCACAAATTATACAGTCAAGTTTTCCACATTTGGGGAAATTCCAAGGGTCAGCACATTTGGAGTCAGTGGATAAGCCTCACCCTGGGAAACTGCTTTTGGGTTCATGCTCTCTCCCCTGCTGGGTAAGTACAGAAGGCATCTTGTCACATACTCGTATTAGATTCAAGCTCCAAGTCTCTCCTTTTATTTTCAGATTACCACACAAAAATATTACTGACTATATAAGATGAAATATTATTACGTTGAGTTCCAAGTTACTTGTAATCAAACCCCTCCACACACAAAAACAAAAATATCATATTTAATTTTCATTTTTAAAAATATATTTTTCAAATATCAATTTAGCTATGTTTAGGCAAATTCACAAGAAATGCATGTGAAATTCCAACAACACATGAGAGAGGGCAAGTGCTGCCTCAGAGTAATATAGCTGTTAGGTCCACAATACCAAACACACACATTGATGCAAAGAGATGTTCTTCTTCACCGCCCCCTCTGCCCACCCTCCACCCCATCCCTTCTCACCCAGACGCTTTACAGAAGTTGGTGATATCCTAACTGAATCTGTTAATAGCAGTTTAAATTTTAAGAGGCATTTTTTAATTAGTTAAGATCTTATAAGATTGTGGGCCTGGGTGGCTCAGTTGGTTAAGTATCTGCCTTCAGCTCAGGTCACGATCTCGGGGTCCTGGGATGGAGCCCTGCTCAGGGGGAAGTCTGCTTCTCCTTCTCTGTTCCTCCCCCTGCTCGCGATGTCTCTCAAGTAAGTAAGTAAGTAAGTAAGTAAGTAAATAAATAAATAAATACATACATACATACATACATACATACATACATAATCTTTAAAAAAAAAATCCTATGGGATTGATGTTTTTGCAAAGTGGTTCAAGAACATGGCTTTCAAATATTGCCTGACCATCCAAAAAATATTTTACTTTTCACAAAAAAAGGGAAGATTTTATCTACCCAATTTAATTATTACAGCAACTTAAAGGATTTGTTCCAATACAATGGTATCTTGCTGAAACCAGTAACTGAGCAATTGCATAAAATAGGAATTACTCTCCTTTAACTTTTCTCATCAAGTACCTTTTGTTGAATGGTGGAATGTTTTTGCTCCATCTCTCTTTTCTCCTTTGCTGCATCCACAACCAGTCGATCCAACTATAAAGGGAGAAAATTAGACTGAGTTAAAAATTAAAGAAAAAAAGGTATGATTATTTTTTTAAAACACTCTCAATAAGTCAGCCAATTTAAGTCTACTAAGACCAGGGTATAAAATAGCTATTGTTTAAAAAGAAAAAAAAAAAAGCTATTGTTTTAAGTTTTTTTTTAAAAAGCTCAAAAAATTTAAGAAATCATAAAATCTCATTTCTTTCTTGTTCTTTCCATCAGAAAAGATGATTTTCTAGTATTAAGACAAATGTCCTGGCTTCTTGAACTACCATTTGCTAGAATAAAAAATAATTGGGTTATAAATTATGTGAGCCTACCCTTCTAGACTGTGATGTATGTCATTTCATCTTTGAATCCCCATACCTCTAACTGATTGTGGGAAAAATGAAAAAATAAAAATGCAAATATCAATACGAATAAGAACAATAAAGTATTAAATATCCAAATGTTTTCATTGATATCTTTTAAAAACAAAATATTAGGGCAGCCCGGGTGGCTCAGCGGTTTAGCGCCGCTTTCAGCCCAGGACGTGACCCTGGAGACCGGGGATGGAGCCCCACATTGGGCTCCCTGCATGGAGCCTGCTTCTCCCTCTGCCTGTGTCTCTGCTTCTCCCTCTCTCCTGTGTATTCTCATGAATAAATAAATAAAATCTTTAAAATAATAATAATAATTTTAAAAAGCCTTTGTAAAAAAAACCATTTTGTCCTTCATTCACTCTATTACAAATGATGGTTTTTTTTTTTTCCCCTAGCAGAGAATAACTTTGGCCATAGAATCTTTTTTTTTAATTAAAAAAAAAGTTTTTAATTATTTAAATCTGCTGGTTAACACACAATATTAGTTTCAGGTGTACAACTGGCCACAGAATCTTAATTATCGCTGAATATTAATAACCAAAAGAAAACACATTGAAACAGAATTATCACTATTATAAATATCTGATTTAGATGGCAACTATACTATACTTGAGGATCTAATGCATATATGCCTTGGTGACACATAACATTGATTTAATCGGTAATGCTGGCATATGCTGCACTAGGAAAACATGCTCAATATTTTCTTATATTGGGGCACCTGGATGGCTTAGTCAGTTAAGCATCTGCCTTTGGGTAGGGTTTTGATCCGAGGGACTTGGGATCGAGCCCCACATCTGGCTCCTTGCTCTATGGGGAATCAGCTTCTTCCTCTCTCTCTGCTCCAACCCCCTGCTCATGTGTTCACTCCCTTTTTCTCTCTGTGGAATAAAATCTTTTAAAAATATTTTTTCTTATACTGAATGAGTGAAACAACCATTATGCCATGGTTTTATAGCCTTTAACTGAATGGCATATAAATATTATTTATTCATTCTGATTGAAGAGAGGTACAAGGCAGACCCTAAGATTCAACTAATATTTATAAACTTGTGTGCATGTACCTGCTATGCTAGTACTGCAATGCAAGTGATGGTTTTCTGCCTATCAGATTGGTAGTAAATGCCTCTGCTACATCCCACCTCATTGGTATAACAACAAAAAGGGGGAAAATTCACCTTTCTCTGTTGGAGAAGTATAAAGAAAAAAACTATCTCAACGTGATAGAGGGTTGGGGAAGGTACAAGTTGAAGAGATGTGAAAACTGAATCGTCTTGTTTCCTACATGCTGGGACTAGATCAGCAAGAGGGAGTCTGGAGCACAACATGTCTAATAGAACATACTACTTCTATTAGTATTGGACAGTAGGAGTTTCACAGGTACTTAAAACCAGCCAGGTGTCCCCAATCCTCTGTGTTTGGAATCCTTTCTACTCCTACCACATCAGACATAATCACTTCTCTTTCTGCTTTTGAATTTCTCCCATTTCCATCTGCTTGTATATTTGTGTAAATCCTACTATCTTAAATAAAGCCTTCCTCCAACTCGTATTTCTCTCTAGCTACCACCTTCTACCTCTCTTTCCTTCACAATACAACTTCTGAAAAATCTTCCTTGTTCTTCACTTGTCTATTTCTTATTCATCTACTCACTGTAGTTTAGCTTCTCCCACTCAGACCCTCAACTCTCACAAAGGTAACAAATAATCTTGCTGCTAAACCCAATAGGTAGTTCTCAGTCTTAGGTTTACTGGACCTTCTTTCCAATATTTGTACTGATAACCACCCTCTCCTTTTTGAGAAACTCCTTCCTTGGTCTATGCTACCACCATCTCCCAGTTTTCTACCTCCTCTCTCATCTGTGTTCTCACAGAGCTCCTCATATCTAGTCATCTCTCAAAAATATGTCATCCTTAGGGCCCTGTCTGAAATAGATTCTTTTACTCTACACTAGTGGCCCTTGACCTTAATTTAACAAAATCAAAATCTTTAAGCATAGTGTTCTAGCACTCACATTTTTCAAAAATAGCTTTCAAAATACAAAAATGATTTGGGGATACCTATTAACTCTCCTTGAGTCAATTCACCCATTCTTGTGGTTACAATTAGCAATAATATGCTACTGACTCCTTTAACCTAGTTTTTTTGTTTGTTTGAGCTGCAGATATACCCACTTAGATGTCCTATCATCAAAATTTAACACATTTAAACCTCAACTCATCATGTCCCTCTACCTTCAAAAATTGGCTGTATCTTAAATATCCCTTGAGTCTATTTGCTTCTATCCCTACTGCCATGTTCCTAGTTCCAGATGTAGTTCTCTCATAACTGAATTATTTTTTAATTTTTTAAATTGTTTTAAATTTTTTTTAAATTTTATTTATTTATGATAGTCACAGACAGAGAGAGAGAGAGAGGCAGAGACAAAGGCAGAGGGAGAAGCAGGCTCCATGCACCGGGAGCCCGATGTGGGATTCGATCCCGGGTCTCCAGGATCGCGCCCTGGGCCAAAGGCAGGCGCCAAACCGCTGCGCCACCCAGGAATCCCCTCATAACTGAATTATTGAAAGAATATCCAAACTGGCCACCTCCAACCAGGCTATATTTTCCACTACACCAGAGCTTAGATGCTTGTCAAGAATCTGAAAGATTATGTGGGAACTGAGAGAGGGGAAACTGCCAAACTGAAATTAATAAATGTCTAAAGTATAAAGTGGACTACTCAACTGCAATCCAATTCTTTTGTTTTAAACTATATTTAATGTAAGATGAGGGTGCAACATAATGCTTCACAGAATGTGGGGAATCCCTAGAGCCGAGGAAGTTCTTGTCTTCCTCCCAAGTCTGGGCTACAGGTCCTAGATGTATGTCCCTATACCTCTTTGATCCTCTGTTACGTGGTAGAGACAGCCAGATATCCTCCAATATCCAATCTCTCTCTCTTTCTTTCTTTCTTTCTTTCTTTCTTTCTTTCTTTCTTTCTTTCTTTCTTTCTTAACAAAACAACACCCAAATTCTTGTAGGTCACATGATTATCTGGCATGAAGTTTGTATCTCTCAGCTTTTCTTGTACCCATTGTGCCATTAGGATGCACAAAAGTAACTCTAAAATTTCCAGGAGATATCAATAAGAGAGAGAATGCATCTTTCTCCTTTCCCCTTTCCTGTTAGCTAGAATGTAGGTATGGTGACTAGAACTTGATCACCCACTTTGAACCATGAAGTAGAATAAAAAATATATAATAAGCTTGCATCCCTACAAACCAAGTGACAACCATACCAGGATTTACATATGGAAATAAAATTCCATCTTGTTGAAGTCACCACTATTTTAAAGCTTCTATTTATCACATGCAAATGAGCTTAGTCTCAATTTATATACTCAGAAAGGACATTTAGCACAGGGAGTAATAGTTTGGTAACTTGCTCATTTCCTCCAATAGATTAAGTTCTACAAATCAGGGAACAGAGCCCCACATCAGGTGGAGGATGGGGATGAGTGAACAAAATGGGTGAAGGGGGTCACAAGGTACAAACTTCCATCTATAAAATAAATAAGTCCTGGGAATGTAATGTACAGCATGGTGACTATAGTTAATGCTTCTTATACTGTATACTTCAAAGTTACTAAACAGTAGATCTTCTAAGTTCTGAAGACAAGGAAAAAAATGTTTAACTCTGTGGACTAAAAGATGTTAACTACACTTCTGAGGTGGTCATTTGACTACACACACACACACACACACACACACACACGTGTGTGTGTGTGTGTGTGTATTAATATACACACATAGGGCAATCCCAGTGGCGCAGGAGTTTAGCGCCACCTTCAGCCTGAGGTGTGATCCTGGAGTCCCGGGATTGAGTCCCACGTCGGGCTCCCTGCATGGAGCCTGCTTCTCCCTCTGCCTGTGTCTCTGCCTCTCTCTCTCTGCCTCTCTCTCTCTCTCTCTCTCATTCTGAATAAATAATCTTTAAAAAATAATATTATACACACATATATCTCAAAGTATTTTATATAACTAAACTAATGCAATATTGTATGTCAATCATATCTCAATGAAAAAAATACAGATAGCAGTGTATAACACAGAACCAAGCAATACAGTAGGATATTACCTGTGCACCAAGATCCTTCATGTAGGGCCCCAGTTCACTGAATAGATCATATCCTTGATGGAAGAAGGCCAAATGGGCATACATAAAAGATAACATCTAATAAGAGAAAAAAAAGTTTCGCATTTTAAAATCAATTATTAGATATTCTGAAATTTTATAAAAATCTCATCTGTTTAAAAATTCCATCAGAGTCCAAAATGTCAAAACTACTTAAAATTAAAAATGAGTCATTTTTCTTAAAAGAGTATTTCAGAAGGATTTGTGAAATGAGAATAAGTTATATTTAAAAGAAATCTCCAAGTGGTTTATCATTTTTAAGATGCCCCAAGTTTTAGTTGTTTAGATTATATCCAGACGATCAAAATTCATATGGTAATAACCAAAAGAATCAAGTTCTTAATGCTTTCACCATTTTCCCAGGTACAATATAAAATATCTATATGCCTTTCAACCAAACTCACTGGCAAAACTTTAAGTTGCAAATAAAATATTAGAAGATTAGAAGGGGAAATATGAAGCTCTCAAAATAAAGCAATCATACTTTATATACCTATTAGGATCACCAAACACAACCCAAAGTAGAAAAATGTTCATTTTCTTTCTCAAGATACTGAAATGAGTCAACAGACTTTGCCAATATGGAGGTTTTTGTATATTCATTCCCAATATCCAAAAATGTTGCTAATAGGTTAAGATTTTTTCCAGGTTTCCCTACATTTTACCTATTTGTGAGAGAAAAATCACCCTTATTTTTATTTGTTGTTTTTACATGGTTACAAATTTAATTCAATCACAATAGTGAAAGAATCTTCCAAACATCCATGTTTATTTTTAGCAAGATGAGGCATCTGTTTTAGCATATTCAATCAATCTGTGAACTATATCCAACTCTATCATCTGTTTTTGGATGACTATGAGCTAACAGTAGTTTTTACACATTTAAATGGTTGAAAGACAATGAAAAGAAGACATGGAATTCATGACATGTGACAATTGTATGAAATTCAAATTTCCATGTCCGTAAGAAAAATCCTTATTAAAACACAGTCATGCTATTCATTCACCTGTCTTCTAAGACTGCTTTCTCATTACAACATCCCAGTTAAGTAATTACAACACAGACACCACCATCTGCAAACCTAACATATTTACTTCCTGGCCTTCACAAAAAACGGCTGCCTACCCCCAGTAGATTCGTGTGATAGAATTCTACATGGCCAGCAGAGTCAGCATTAAATAAAGGATATTTAATGACACATGGTGATTTTGTACAAAAAAAGTTAAAAACATATGCATCAATGATTTCCATTTTGTTTAAAGAAATTAAATGCAACTTTAAAGCACACATATACACATTTACATACATACATGCACACAGAAAGAGATGAAAAAGGATGAGGATATATGCCAAGATATTAACAGTGGTTCTCTCCTGGTAGTAAGACTCATAAGTATTTTAATTTTTTTATTCATGCATTTTACTTTCCAATATTACAATTAACATACATTACTCTCAATCTGGAAAAGGAAGTGCAGGTAAAGAGCGTTACCTGATAAGTAATAACATACATATAGAATTTAGGGAAATGCTAGGTGGGGACAAAAACCAAAAGCAATTTAGGTATACCCTCCCAGGGGAAAAAAAAAAAAACACTTCAGTGAACAGAGAGGAAAAATTATCTCTAAGGTTCTCAAAATATGAAAGAGTGCAGTGCCATACCACTACCATCCCCTGTCCACTTATTGGCTTTAAGATTAAAAAAAAAAAAAAAAAGTCAAAAAGAAAAAAAAAAGGTCAAATAAAAAAATGGGCATATAGGATCAGGGAAAAACATTATTCACATTTTATACCATTTATTTTCAAATGGCATTCTAAAGAACAAACCAAAAGGTTGATACATCATCAATAACCCTGAGGAAAAATTCTCCCAATGATACAATTTATGTATGCCTTCAATCTCAAATATTTAAATGTCAATATTAAGGCACTCACAGTGTGTTAATAGAGGAGATAAACATAAATAACTCTAACATGAAGTAAACAAAAAAGTGGTTAAGTGACATAAGAAGTATACAAAGATCTGTAAGATTAATTATGAACCTGGAATAAATACATGTACATATAGATACACACATATAGATACACACACATGATGCTGTTTTAAACACTTACATAGGTACACTCAAATCATATTAAAATATTGAAAACGTCATTTCAATAAATATCTTACTGATTTTAGGATTTCTGATCTCCTTTTTGATTGAAGGACATTAATCTGAGGGAAAATACAATTAGTTAGTCACTCATTCATTATTTTAAAAACTAATCTACATTGTAATATTGTAAACTTTGCTTACTGATAGTTTGATACTTTTCCAGAAAAGTAAATAAAAACAAAATTCAGGTGTTTCACCCTCTGACCCACGTTTTGCAAAAACAGTTAAACATACCAAGGAAACTCTCATCTGTTTTCAGATCAAAGAAAAACTGGCCATGTATAAGTCATAAATACTGTAGTGATAAAACTATCACTTTGATAAAAATTTGAATTTCTTAGAATTTCTTCTTTCCCCATTCTCCTTACCTAATTGCTCATCTAGACCCTTCAAAATATATCCTTACTGCAAATTCTCAATACTTTTCTCAATACTTTTCTCAATACTTTTACCACGACCAACCACCATCTCATCCTTTCTAGATTGTTACAATAGCCTACTAACTAGTCTCTCTATACTCTTGACTTTCTACAATCCATTCTCCACACAGCAGTGATCTTTTCAAAGTATAAATAAGATTATGCTATATCCAACTTAAAACCTTCCAACTTCCTCCTATAGCCCGCATGACCCTTTGTGATGATCACCTCTGTAACCTAGTTTTCTACTACTTTCCCCTTTCTATGTTACAACCACAATCCAAAACTACTCCTACCTCAACACCTGCAAACTAGTTGTTCTGTCTTCATGTCATGATTGTCCGTCCAGATAGGCACAAGGCTACCTCTTACCAATCAGGCCCCAGTGAAATACTATCTCCTCAGAAAGGTCTGAGGAGGCCCTATGTACTCTTTAGTACATCAACCCTATTATTTTCTTCATAGCATTCATAACTACCTTATATTTTCTTATTTACTTATGTCTTTCCACAGCTAAAGTGTGAGCTCTGTCAGATCACGGTCTTACTTTATCCCCAGGTGCATTCCTCAAGTGGTACATAGTGAGGACTCAATATTTGTTAACCAAATTAATAGACATTAAATAATATTTTAATTAGACTAAACTTACTGAAAGACCACGGAATTATAAAAGTTGCCTTTGTGGCATATCTCTCCCAACTCTAGAAATTCCTAGCAAATATTTTATTTTTGTCTCATAGATCAACTTAATGAAATTAAATGTTTATGCAAAAAAAGTCATTCATTTTTTGCTAACATTGTCCAAAGATTACAGAGTATTTTCCTTTTCGATATGTTCTTCCCATTGAATATTCGGCCTGTTGTTTTATAAGATAATTTAAAGCACTGATCAGAAAACTAAAAACATACCAAGAAAAAGCCAAATAACTATGCCTAAGTAAGCACTAACTTCCTTTGTATGTCTGTTTCAAGGCCTATTCAGTTTTGAGAACTAAAATATTAACTTTCAAATGCTCTAAGTAAAAGTAGAGGCTGCGGATAACCTATTATTCAAACAACAGTTTGAACAGACACAAGAGTTCTCATCAGAAAAATCAAACAAGATAATGGTTCTGGGGGACATGCAAGTCCTAACTTAAAACTGTTGGATGGAAATCAGAGGAAATGGATAATTTATTTTTCAACCACTGGACTAAGGGAAAGGATATAACCTATAGAAAAGACATATAAATAAATAATTACAATAAATGTGATTGCTTTAATAACAATGTGTGTGATAATGTTATGACAAAACAGAGGAAGCAGAAGCAAGAATGATTCACTTTGCCCAGAGAAACTTGTGTAACTGACCACAGAACAGAACAAATTGGTAAGAGGGCAGGAAACAATACAGACTGGTGTTAGTGCTGCAGCAGGGGTAAGAAAGAGCCGACTTAAGAGTACACAGAACTTTTTTTTTTTTTTTAGGAGGGCGGGAGAGTACGCCAGCAGGCAGTGGGGGTATGGATCACAGAGGGAGAGAGAATCCCAAGCAAACACCATACCCAGGGCAGAGCCTGACTCAGGGCTCCACCTCATGACCCTGTGATCATGACCCGAGCTGAAATCAAGAGTCAGATGCTCAACCAACTGAGCCACTCAGGTGCCCCAGTACACAGAACTTTTTAAGGCAGTTCTGATTGTTGGATACAGCAGCTGAGAATGAGATTATCTGATGCAATTCTCTATGTGGATTTCTAGGATTCAGTGAGAGGGTGTCGCCATTCAGTTAGGGAAAGGCAGAAAGAAGCCATTTGGAAGAAGACAATTTTCAGTTGTGGATACAAAAAGAAAGATGTCTGAGAAAAATAGATTCTCTCATCTATACATGACAGTAATTCAAGCTAAGGACATGAGACTGTCAGGGAATTCAAAAGATCAGAAAAAGAATAAGACCAAAGAGGAAACACTGAAAAAGCGGTTGGAAAGTTGGACAAAGGAGAGAAGCCCAACAAGGAAACTGAAAAGAAACAAAAGTTAATAAAAGATAAGAAAATAGAAGCTTAATACAAGTTAATGCAACCTAAAACTGGTTTGAGATAAATCAAGACAAAAGTGTATTTCAAGAAAGAGAGAGTGGTCTACCACTGAAAAGTGAAACACAATAGTAAAATGGGTTACAAATTAAATTGTATCTAATGAGTAAGACCTTAGCATGAGCTATTTCAGTGGAATGGGATACAGTACTCATACCACTGTAGGAAGTGGAGTGAATGGGAGATAGCTAGGAAACACAGACCATTCCATTCTACAAGACTCTCATTAATAAATGGAATGTCCTTCATTTTTTAAAATTTAACTTCCCAAAAAAAAAAAAATTTAACTTCCCACTTACTGAATAGAAACTTAAAAAAAAAAACATTTTCTACCGTTTTGCAAAGTTACCCAAGTAGTTTTTAATCACTAAGTTGTATATGGTTATTTATGTATTTTTTTAAAGAAATGATCTGTAATTGCTAAGTCAATAATCCCTGGGGAGTTTACTGCTGCTTTGTAAAAGGAGACTTAAACAAACTTCCCCTAAATTTTAAAGTTTTTCAAATCCTGATATAGGAACACATCAAGTATATGTGAAATAACTTATGTGTGTCTTCACTTTTCATGTCTCTTGAATCCCTTTGGAGACCTATCACATTCAAACTGATTTCAATTATACAGAAGACCAGAAGATCTGCAGGGAACTTAACAGATACTGATCTCTAGTTTTAAAAAATAGCATGTAGGGGCAGCCCCGGTGGCTCAGCGGTTTAGCGCCTGCCTTTGGCCCAGGGCCTGATCCTGGAGACCGGGGATCGAGTCCCATGTCGGGCTCCCTGCATGGAGCCTGCTTCTCCCTCTGCCTGTGTCTCTGCCTCTCTCTCTCTCTGTGTCTCTCATGCATAAATAAATAAAATCTTTAAAAAAAAAAAAAAAACAGCATGTAAACCAAAATATGGGAACACTATTTCTAGAAATATTTTTCATTTGGCAATATGATATACCTTAGTACCTCTAAGAATCTACTCTAAAGAAATAATCAGAAATGTGGCAAAAGATTTATAAAGAAAGATGTTATTATCATTTACGATTATTGTAAAGTATTTTCACTATTGCCAGTAGAAACTGGCAACACTACGTCTGATAATCAGTATTAATTAAATTAACACAGCCACTCCACAGAATGAAATACAGCAATTAAAAATGCTTTTTACAACATTTAAAAATGGGAGAAAGTATCATGTGAAATGAAAAGGGGAAGAAATCAGAACCAAAGGTAGACACATGTATACACATATATATGTGCATACACAGATACACAGCCAAGTGAAAAACCTTCATAAAAGATGATGGCCTAATTTTAAACTCAAAGACACAGCATTATTCTTTTCAGTAAAATAATTCAAAAGTAATGACATGTTTAGTTAAGTATTTTTGGAAAACATATAATAAATATACCTGAAGTACGTAGTCAAGGGCTATATGTCGAAAACATTTTCTTGTTGCTGTCAGAATGTTCGTGGCCTCTTCAACTTCGTGCTGTTTGTTTCTTTGTACTTGAGCATTTTTTACTAATGCATTTTCCTTTTCCTCACTGACTTTTTCAAATTGCTTCTTGGCATCTTTGAATTTTCTAAGATCTCTAAAAAATGAAAATAATAAAACTTCCATAAATCTTACTATGGCTGAGCTACAAACCATATTTTAAGAAATATCATTTTTTGTTGTTGTTGAGAGAAATTATTGGGCTTAAGGGAATGAATATATTCTTAAAACACACATATAATCTTTGGTCAAAGAACTGTAAACACATAAAGGGTAATGGTTTCCATTTCAGTATTCTGAAAATCTGAAATCCTTAATTCATTAGTCATCTTAGTGAAGTACCTTAATAATAATAATAATAAAGTAGACCTGAGAAAAACTTTAAACCCTTTGTAAGAAGCCATAAATTTTCATGTATACATTCTAGAAGGAGATTCTGAATGTTAGTCTATTATTTGGAAAGAATCTCTGACACATCACTAACAGGACAACAAATTCTAACCTACTAAACAGCAGTGTGTTATGTTCATGAGATATGCCTTTTTTATAGCTTATATAACATCTGTAATTTATCATGAATACTGCATCATAAGCAACTTTATCTGTAGTTTTATATATTCCTTAGGAATTAAAAGAGAAAAACTGAATTATCAATGTGGGAAAGGAAAATGTTCCTCTCTGGAAAGTTCAGATGTTTTTATTTCTAGTTTAATTTTATTTCACGTATAAGATGGGATGAATGTGACACAAAAGGCTCACATGTTGCAAAAAGCATGCACTTTCATGATTCATTCTCAAACATTCTATTATCTTTTCTTCAAAGAAAATATCATATTGAGACAATGGAAAACTTAGCCTCCACTATAATAAGAAATAGTATTTTCAACCACTTTTGGAGTCTGCTTTGATTTTGAAAGGTCATTAATTTATTTTATTTTTTAATCTATAACAACCATAGTTATGTATCCTAAATACAAATTTCATAGTATAAATGATTCCCTGAAAGGCACAAAATCTGATTCCCTTACATAGTAATTCAGGAAGAAATGCAATATACACTTCACAAACCAAAAATTCAAACAAAAACTCCAATATTTTCAATAAATCATAACCCATAAAATTCCTCTCAAAAGATACCAACTCCCAGATGTTGCTGGTTGCTTTTCTCTTCACTGCAATTGACTTACTCTTTAACAAAGTTCTGAAGCTGTGCTTTAATTGATCTCTGAGTTTGATCAAATAGGATCTAAAAGATAAAATGTAACATAAAATCAGAAAAGTAAACAAAAAATAATTTTCATGTAGGTTGATAAATAACACATCCTTCCACCAGTACCCCAATTCTAATAACACTTATATTTCTTAAGCATTTCAAAAAAGAAACTGAAACTGATGTTCAAGCCAATTCCATTTGGCTAAAAAATAATTTTATTTCTAATTACAGGGAAAATCAAACCTGCATTACCATTTAAATAGAATGTTCAAACAACAGAGCAATTATTTTCTCGATTTTAATTCAAGCCTTGAAAAACAACCTGAAAGAGTAATACAAATTCTACTTCATTTACTACAGAAATTTCTTTACTTTAACATATCAAAACACATCAAGTAAAAACTACTCCAGAACCGCCTTATATCTTAGTTAGAGGTTACTCATTTGGGAAGACCTAGGGATTTAAATATTTTACATTCTTAATTCGAGTAAACGTGATATAGTCCTTTAGATTCCATGACTGCTAAGACTGGAAAACAAGAATACAATTTTATTCTTCGTGACAATATTTTGCCCCAATTAAATAATTCCACATATTAAACTCCAGGAGCTCCATGTGTAGGAAATTTCACTGGGCTTGTCATGGAAATTCTGACTATTTTCATAATTTACAGATACTCTTCAGAGTTTGAAAGAGATGTCAGATGAACAGACAAAAATCAATATTCAAAACAAAAAGAAACTCCTATGTCCTCATTAAAAACAGTACCAATATCGTTGTCTCTGAAATCTTGCTACTAGCAAAGTGACATGTTCTTGCCTAGATACCAACACCACACACACACACACTCACACACACACACACACACACACACACACACCACCTGAATTGAGTATTACAGGATTCAAAAATCTGACAATTTACTTCCAGAGAGAAAAAAAAATGGTTTTTTCTAATATGTTAAACCCAAAGTTTTAAATCTAAATTAGCAGAAGGAAATAATAAAGAAGACTGGGGCAGCCTGAGTGGCTCAGCGGTTTAGCTTTTAGCGCCGCCTTCAGCCCAGGGCCTGACCCTGGAGACCCAGGATCGAGTCCCACGTTGGGCTCCCTATATGGAGCCTGCTTCTCCCTCTGCCTGTGTCTCTGCCTCTGCCTCTCTCTCTCTCTCTCTCTCTCTCTCTCTCATGAATAAATAAATAAATAAAATCTTAAAAAAAAAAGAAGAAGAAGAAGAAAAGAAAGAAGACTGGAAGTCAGCTAAACAGAAAACAAAATCAGTAACCAAAACTCAACAAAACCATAAGCTAGTTCTTTCAAAAGATCTTTAAAGTTGATAAACCTACCGTCAAAGCGACCAAGGAAAACTTTTAAAACACAAACTTCAAGCTCAGTCAGTTAAGTGTCTAACTCTTGATTTTGGCTCAGGTCATGATCTCAGGGTTGTGAGATCCCCGTCTCCATGCTGATCTCTAGAGGTATGGAGCCTCTAGAGATTCTCTCCCTCCTTCTCCATCTGTCCCTCCCCAAAACACTAAAACAACAACAACAAAAACACTTCAAATATCAAGAAGTAGAGAGATAACAACACCACATATTCTACAAATATTAAAAAGGATAATCAAAGGAATTGAAGAATAATTTTAATGCCTATAAATTCAACCAACGAGATGGGTTAATTCTTTGAAAAACAAACACTACCAAAGCTCACTCAATAAGAAATCAATAACCTAAACAGAATTAAAGAAATAGAATCTATAGTTAAAAACCTCCCATATCTGGGATGCCTGGGTGGCAGGGACGCCTAGGTGGCTCAGCAACTGGGTGTCTGCTTTTGGCTCAGGGCATGACCCCAGGATCCTGGGATCGAATCCCACATCTGGCTCCTTACATGGAGCCTGCTCCTCCCTCTGCCTATGTCTCTGTCTCTCTCTGTGTCTCTCATGAATAAAGAAAGTCTTAAAAAAAAAAAACTCCCATATCCTATAAAATTAAAGCTACACTTACATAAAACCTAGCAAACCCACTTGTAGGTACTTGCCCCAGAAGAAAAACTTCGGTTTACACCAAAATCAGTATGCAAATATTTATAGCACTTCCATTCCTAATTGCCAAAAACTGGAAACAATCCAAATGTCCTTGAAGAAATAGACTATGGTACATCCATCATGGAATACTGCTCAGCAATAGAAAGGAACAACCGTTTTATTAATTATCATTATTATTATTATTAATACATACAATATAGATGAATCTCAATGGATTTAACTAACTAAAACAAGTCATCTTCAAAAGGCTACAATACAAGCCAAATGATTCCATCTATATGACACTTGGGAAAAGATAAAACTATACAGATGAAGAATGAATCAGTAATTTCTAGTGGTCAAGGAGTGTAGAAGGAAGAGTACTAACAAAGGAGTAACATAAGGGTATTTTTAGGGTTGCTGAAACTGTCATGCATATAGATAGTGATATAGAGATCCAATCGTAGAAGTCTGTCAAAATCCATAAAGCTAATTTATAGTATTTATCATAGAATTAGGATAAAAAATCCTAAAATTTGTATGGAACCACAAAAGACCTCAAAGACCCAAAGTAATCTTGCAAAAGAAGAACAAAATTGGAGGCATCACAATCCCTAGATTTCAAACTACACTACAAAATATCAACACAGTATGGTACTAGCACAAAAACAAACACAGATATTAGTGGAACAGAACAAAGAGCCCAGAAATAAACTCCTACTCAACTAATCTACAACAAAGGAAGCAGAATGTACAGCAAGGACAACAGTCTCTTCAACACATCCTGTTGGGAAAACGGACAGCCATGTGCAAAAGAAGGAAACTGGACCACTTTCTTACACCACACACAAAAATAAACTCAAAGTAGATTAAAGACCTAAATGAGACACCCGAAACCATAAATATCCAAAAAATACATAGACAGTAAACTCTTGGATATTGGCCTTGGCAATATTTTTCTCAATTTCTCTCTCCAGGAAAGGGAAACAAAAGAAAAATAAACAACTGGGACTACATCAAACTAAAAAGCTTTCAAACAGTAAAGGAAACCAACCATCAATTAAAAAAAATGGCAATATACTGAATGGGAAAAGAAATTTATAAAGATATATCTGATAAGGGGTTAATACTCAAAATACATGAAGAACTCCTATACAAGGGAGCCTGGGTGGCTCAGTCAAGCATCTGCCTTCAACTCAGGTCATGATCTCTGGGTTCTGGGATCGAGCCCCGTATTGGACTCCCCAGCAAGAGGGAGTCTGCTTCTCCCTTTCATTCTCCCTCTGTGATCTCTGTTGCTCTCACTTTCACTAAAATAAAATAAAATCTTAAAAAAAAAAAAAAGAACTCCTACACGAAACAATCTGGTTTAAAAATTGGCAGAGAGCCTAGGTAGACATTCTTCCAAAGAATACACACAAATGGCCAACAAACACATGAAAAGAAGCTCAACATCATTCATCATCAGGGAAATACAAATCAAAACCACACGAGCTCTCACCTCACTAGCCTGACTTGTGTCAGAATGGCTAGTACCAAAAAGACAAGAAGTGTTGGTGAGGATATGGAGATAAGGGAGCCCTCAATACCCCGCATGAACACAGATGCAAAAATTCTTTATAACAATGATATAAAAAAATAATAATTAATTAAAAAAACAATGATATATAACAACAACAACATATGAAAAGGACAACATATCATAACTAATTGGGATTTGTTCTGGAAATGCAAGATTGATTTAACTAAATTCAAAAATTAATGACTATAATTTACCCTGTTAACAAATTCAAAGAAACTATATGACACCAAAAAAAAAAAAAAAAGAAAAAGAAACTATATGACTATCTCAACAGAGACAAAAAAGTATTTGACAAAATCCAATATCCGTTCCTGAAAAAAAAAATTCTCAGGAATCCAAGAATAGAAGGGAACTTCCTTAAACTAATAAAAGGCACATATGAGAAACCTAACATATTTAGTGGTGAAAAGCTTCTTATCAGCAATGATCAAGAATAAGGCAAGAATGTCATTATTTCTATTGAACATTGTACTAGGAATCCTAGCAGTGCAATCAAGCAAGAAAATTGAAAATACTAAAAAGGAAGAATATAAAACTCTTTATCCACAGATGATATGATTTGCTACATAGATAATACTACGAAATTTACAGAAAACTGTACTGGAACTAGTACAGTCTAGCAGACTGTTGGTATTTAGCAAGGCCTCAGGGAAAAAAGTCAATATACATAAATCAGTGCTATATCTATATACCAGTAACAACTAATTAGAAACTGAACTTTAAAAAATATCATTTACAATAGCATCAAAAAATAGGAAATGCTTAGGGATACATTTGACAAAAGATACGTAAGACTTCTACAGTTAGGACTACAAAACATTACCAAGAGAAATTAAGGAAAACTTAAATGCAGATATACTGTGTTCATGGTTTCAAGACTCAGTATTAATACGATGTCAATTTTCACCATATTGATCTATACATCCAATGCAATACCACTCTAAATCCCAGTAAGATTTTCTCTAGAATGTGAAAATCTGATTCTAAAATTTATACCAAAATGTAAAAAACTTTCTAGGTGTTCTATAGCCCAGCCAATTTTGAAAAGAAGGAACAAAGCTGGAATAGCTAACACTACCTGACTTTAGGACTCATACTATGAAAGCTACGGTAATCGAGGCTACTGTAGTATTAGAACAGACAGGCAAAAAGATCAGTGAAACAAAATAGAACCCAAAAATGACCCACACACTTTTTTTAGACAAAAGGTACCAGCACTGTGGTGCTGGTGGTATACTGATGAGCATAGCTGCCTTCGAAAGGTGCCAATATGGGAAAGATAATTTTTTGAGCAAATGATGTTAGAACAAACAACAGACAAGACATATGCTGAAAAACAAATAAAACTTGACCCTTCCACCATGCAACATACAGGAAAATTTACTCAGAGTGGATCACAAATCTAAACACAGAATAAACTAGGC